AAATAACTAACCTAACATAGTTAAATGTACATTATCCTCTTATACTTTAATAATTGTATGTAATGTAATTTATGTTAGCTGCATGTTGATGTTATCCTATGTGTTTCATGTACTTGTGTCCTCTCCTGGAAGAATAGATGTCACTAAGGACTTAGTAATAGGTAGACAGCATATAAAAAGAACTCGAACTAGAAATGTAACATTTGCAAAATAAATGCATAATGTTTACCTTCGCATATGGCTTGTTCTGTTAATTCTTACTCAAACACATTCATATATATGGTCAGACAGGAGTCTAAATCCCTCCTGCTATAAAATTGCATCATGAAATGTAACCCAACACTAGTTACCATGGTGACAGACGTCTGGTTCAGGTCATTGACCTTATTTGTTTGGAGTAGAAGAAGAGGAGAAAACAGAGCAAAACCAATATGTTTTCCTTTGCATAATGAACTCCAATTGAGGTTAAACTTCAATAAACTACTAAATGACATATACTATACTACTATAAATATATATATAGAAATTTCAATCCTACCACAGTGAACATAACAGGAGTTTAGAAATGGTGGTTGATCATGTGGGTTTCTAGTCTAGACTTGTAGCTGGTTCTATAGTCACACAGGGAACACTGAAAACCCTTCCCCGCCCTATGCACCACCCACATGTGTGTACTCAGGTTATCCTTCACGCCCGTTCTGTACCCGCACACTCCGCACATAAACGGTAACTCCTCGTGATGCTGCGTCGCCGCGTGGTTGTCCAACGTCTGCTTGGTGGCTGCGGAAAAGCTGCACTTTCCGCACCTGTAGACGTTGATGTCTGCGTGGTCCCTGAGGTGGTATTGTAGGTTGGTCTTCAGTCTGGTCTCAAACGGACAGAACATGCACTTGTGGAGGGTCGCGGCTCTGAAGCCTGGCACTTTCCTGTTTGCTTCAACCTGTGGAAAGAAATACAAATTTTTTTAGATAAAGTGTTGTTTTTTTGCTGTACTGATTTGGTGATTAAAAGATAAAAGGATTTCTACATTTCTAAAACTCAAAGGCAAAATACTGGGGGGAAAAGTTTTGAAGTTAGCACTGCGAATAATGTTATGTTTCTAGTATTAATGCTTGTTTGATACTTTTAATAACAAGTTTTAGTCTCTCTATATATATTACAGTCTTACCAAATGCAAGCCATTTTGCAGATATTGTTGGCTGCACAAATGGGTAAGTATGGAAACACATCTTTTTATACAGAAAAATACAGATACAATCTTGTGACATGACTATGTTGACTATGTGTATATCATATATCACTTAAGATCTCATACCAAAGTTTGTGCAAATGAATGTAGTTACTTGCTGGTGCCATGGGAAACTGTGGTGTGAGACCTTCCTGTTGAACCTGCATGTTTCCAGTTATTTGCTGCTGGACTAAAACTGATCTCATACCAACGTTTGTGCAAATGAATGTACAGTTACTTACTGCTGCCATAGGAAACTGCGGTGCGAGACCTTCCTGTTGAACCTGCATGTTCCCAGTTCTTTGCTGCTGGACTAAAACTGGTTGCACAGAAGGGCCTACATGTACATCTGCACCTCTGTTGGTCCGACTTTCGTTACGCCTAACTTCCCTCCTATCTCTCATGGCACTCACTATCCCCATGGGGTCATCTTCATCTGTTAATCCGTCGGTTTTTAGCTGCTTGGCTCGCTTCAAATCATCCAGAAGGGCTCGGACCGTTTTTCTCTTCTGCGCCTGGTACTGTCTCGTGCTGACCATGCTCACCCTACTCACGTACGCTGTGACATCAGGGCTGGGAAAACCTGTACTGCCATAGCCGTTCTCTTGGGAAAGAGATGTCCCTACAGACAGGGGTTCAGTCAAAGGTAGTGTGGGCACAGATATAGCTGTAGGGTCATGTTGATCTGTGGGAGTCATAAAGAAATTTTGAGGCATGGTGTGTTGTATTGGTGTTAAAGAGCTGACTGGAGAATGCCCTGGACTTGCATAGTCTTCCCTAAATTCTCCCTCCATGTTGTTGTCCGTTCGCGCAGTACTTTCTTCCATCCTCACTGAATAATCTACAGGTAGGGTGGAACCTGTCTCAGCACTGTCGTCTATCTCTGTCTTGACAACAGTACTTGGGGATTCAGGAATGCCTGAGTTGTCGTTGTTAGCTGCACTTGTCGTACAAGAAACTGGCCAAAAGTCATCATCTCGTTCAACTTTTACCACCACATTTGCAGGGAGGCTGTTGTTTGTATTCTTAGTCTCACTGGTGTCCTGAACTGAACTTTTCCCATGTAGAGTGGACTGGGAAAAGTCTTGTCCTGGTGATTGTTGCATTGTAGAGTCTGTTCTGCTGAAGTTCTCAGAGCCAAGTTGTTGGTTGGGTGCGAGAAGCATCTGTTGTGATGCCAAAGTTGTTTGTGTTGGTGTGTGTGTAGAACTTTTGTCAGTGTATCCATCCTTTTCAGTCTCAGCACTCTGGAAGCTGACGTCTCTTGTTGTGTCAGAATTGTACAATGTTCCCTGCACATCTTGGTGACTAGGCTTCATGTTCCTAGCTTCTGTAGACTCTATCATCAGATTCCCTTGCCCCACAACGTATGGAGATGTGTTTTCATGCATAGAGAATGCCTGAAGTGTTTGTGTATTACTATTAGAAACACTGTTTTTGAACATGTTTCCTTGCTCCTTGTGAATACTGCCTGGCATTCTTGTTCCTGGCAAAGCATTGTTTGCTTCACGTTGTGTAAGTTGTGTTCCTGTGCTTGGTTGTTGTCCTGCTGGTTTGAGTGAAACTCCTTGCACAAGTTGGTTTGGAGAACTTTGGGCCATGCTTGATGCTGTGTTGCTACGGACACCATTTGTGGCCACGCCCTTGTGCAAACCTTGAGGAAGTACCACCTCAGATTGTCGCTGCATTCCTGAGCTGGAGGATCTGTCCTGGATCAGAAGACCTCCCTGGGCTACTGTTTGTGACTGTGGCGGCAGCTGGGGACTTGTCTGGCTCACTAAACTGGAGGGAGATTTCCCTAATGTATTTTCATCTGCTGGCAAAAGTTTCGCAGGCAAGTTTGGAAGTTTTGCGATTTCTGCCAGCCCGTTTCGAATCACTTGTGTAGGTTGCGGAGGCATAGCCTGAGGACTTTGCTGAATCTGTGGACTAACTTGCATCTGTAATCTCTCAGACTGGCCAATTGTGAAAGAATTTCCATGTACTGGAGCACTTGTGTGTGGTGGACCCGTATAGCTGCTTGGCTTCATTCTTGGCAAATTCTGTTTATATTCTGCTACAGCTTGTGCAAGTTGTGCCTGGAGATTTTGCTGCATTGCTGTCATATGTGAGATTGTTTTCACAACTTGGTGTGGAGAGTTTTGGACAACACCTTGTGCTCTGTGACTGGGGATTCCTTGCAAAGTATTCTTTGCTCTAGATTGTGCAAACTGTGCTTCGAGTTCTGTTCTTAAGTTCTGTTGTGTTACTGTTGTTGCATGCGAGGTTGGTTCTACAGCTTGGTTTTGAGAGTTCTGGACAACACTTTGTGTTGTGTTGCTAACTTGGGTTCCTGTCATCAAGTTTCCTTGCAAAGTATTTTTTGCTCTAGTCTGTGCTTGGACATTCTGCTGTGCTTCTGAACTTATTGGTGACACCATTTCTTGGTGTGGAGAACACTGTGACGTATTGCCATGGTGGTTTTGTACGTAAGGAGCCCCCTGTCCATCCGATGTCATTACATCTCGCGCCCTTGTCTGTGGAGAGGGCTCTTCGCTAATCTTCCCCTTCAAATGCTGCTGAAGCTGCTCGTACTCACACACCATGACCTCCTGTAGGAGGTGAGTCAGTTCTTGTTTTTGGAGGGTTTTATCCCTTCCTACCGCGATTTTTCTCCTCTGCAGTTCCAAGAGGACCTCCTTGAGGTACAGTCTGGGGAGAACTGCCATCGTGACCTCCCAGGACAGGCCGCATACACCGGTTATCGTTGCAGACATTCTGGACTCTGAAGAAAGAAATAAGAAAGATTAGAGATTTGTAACACCACCATGATTATCATTGTAACTTTGCATACAGCCAAAACAAAACAAAGGAAGAGAATGAAAAATTATTTTCAATATGAAATAAATATTATATAAATATATATATGAAACTCAAGTCAGACAAGAAAGCATAATGTAAGAAACAAAAATCATATCGCTCACATTCTCAAGTCAAGTAACTCTCAAAAGTGAATTTTAGTCATGTGGCTGAAATATTTACATTGTCCACATAAAAACTCCTTAGGTCCTACCAGTTAAAGCAGTATATAGCATAAGTAATTGAGACTTAATCTCCAAGGAGATGTTTCAGTGGCTGTAAAAGACAGACTGAGAATGAAATCGGCAATTCAGTGGCGAATGGATACTGTCTGGCCAATTTGATACTGTCTTTTGCGGCCACCAAAACATCTGCATGGAGATTGATTCAGACTATTGTCTTTACAAACCACAAAAGTCTGCACACCTACAAAATGTACAATGCTCACCTTTTACCCAGCACACATACAATCATCACATGTATCTGATTACCTACTTTTAGCATAACTCACTCAACCGGTTTATAATTACCTCATTGCTAGCTATCAGTCTGCATTAGATAATGGTTTCAGCAGAAACCCACCTGGAAATAATGGCATTTCTCAGTACTAATTAGGATACTTTTATGTACTAGTATATTTCAACCTTTAGCACACTGAAGTAGAGTAGCCATTTGTCTATATATCAATTCTCTATTGGTTATGGGGTTAGACAGCTGATAGAAAGCACCTGATAGACATTATCTATACAAATATAGTCAAACAAGGACTGCAGTTAGACATGTTTTAGATCTCATGACAGGCCTATCCTTTAAATGCCACAATGATTTCAACACTAGTGACTTCACACAGCCTTAATACTAATATATATAGGCTATAGCAGGTTGGTAAGTACGTAACTCTGTATATATGTGCTGTTGTCAAACTGTTATAACCTTTAGGTTTAGCACACCAATGTAGCTGTTGGATACCAATTCTCTATTGGTTTCAGCATAGGGTTAGGCAGCTGCAGGGAGAATATACATGTAAATAAATATTAAATACTACTGTTATGTTTAAAGGAAGTTATGAGACAAAACACTTTGCTGAACTAAGACATGTTTCTATGGGCTGAAATGTATATATAAAGACTCAACCATTTTACTGATCCTACCTTTACTAAAATTCTACTTTATAATAATCCCATAAAGACTTAATAAACCAAGGCTGCCTTGTCTCTGATCCTTCCGTGCATTAATAATATTCACAATAATTGTGACTCAGCATTCACGTCAACGATAAATTATTCAACCAAAGCACAATGACTGAATTTAAATATTTACGAGGTCTGGGACGATAAATTTTCTCCCTGAATGTGTGAATCCACTGCTGACAATGAAATTCTAAATGCCTACAAGGGCCCGTAATATGGTGTATATTGACAACAAGATTCTGTTGTTTCAAATCCACACAAAAGTAAAATATAAACCAAGATATAGATTGTATGCAAGATAACCAAACCAGGGGACCAGATGGTCATACATATTATATCATTATGTTCTGATTTATGCAAATTGGTCATTGGTATGCACTAATTGCAGGCTGGGTCCCTCTTGGGTCTAGGCCATGTTAAAATTATGTACACAATCATGTAACTTAGCTTTGGGTCACCCGGTGATTCTAGTACTTGCCTCTTTTACTGATTAAGCTCAATAGAACGTCAAAACAAAAAACAAGGTGTAATCTGCAGAATAGCTAAATGACAAACAACAAGGTTTAACTCGAAGAAAATTTTGATTTCTCTCTTCTGTCTCTCATTTCAACTCAGGAAATGAATGAGGACAAAAAGCAGATGGTGATATAATTTTACAGTTAATTGCCTACGAAAATTATTAGTCCTGCATCCTGTAATAATGTCTTGTCTTGTAAAAATCAGATCTGCAAAAATTATAATTAGATCATATCAGGCCCTAATATACCTCATCTATAAAATTGTAGGCAAACTTCCTGAAAAGAGCTAGTAGGAGCTTTTAAAGCTATAGCTACGTAGTACAATTCACCCCAGAAAGGTGACATTTGCAAAGCTGTCCCTACTTTAAATCACAATACCAGCCTGTCTGACCTGTATGGTGCCGTACTGTTCAGTGTGTCTGCCCCGCTTTGTGCATGTATAATCTATGGTCATCTATGCCCAATCATGCATACGATCGACTTATTACCCTAAAATCCAGTCCACATAAATTTTGTGACTCATTCTAAAACAAAAACGTGGAAACGCGACGTTTCCGAACACTAAAAAGAAAAATTCCTGATGATATATGATAACTTAGTGGGTATCTGATTGTTTCATACCTTAATGTCTGCTTAAACCGGTGAGATATGTTGAAAAAACGCCTAAATATCAGGAACTCCAAACATCACATACTTGCTTCTCAGGAAGCTTTTTATTCAATCTAAGGGTCAAAGGTGAACTTTGGGTTGTTTCATTCACAAAAGGGGTCCACTTCTTTAGACGGAAAGAAAGAGGGTACTGATGGCATAATATGATACAAAATCAAATTGATAAGCCAAATTTGGGTATCATTTAGTATTTGAGTATCTTTTATATTATTTTTTAAATCCAAACTGTCAGGAATTGAGTTGTTTGATAAAGTTATTTTTATTGACATGTCCCTACTTGGGTAGTGATTTGTTCCATAGTTCCAAGATGGCGGCACATGTAAACAATCACTCGTCCGTTGCGTCGTTGCTTAGTTGGTAAATATGACGTTTTCTGTCTCCATAACTCATGACAACTGGATTATTTCGGGTTATGATACGTCTAAGATATTGTTTGTGCCGTCGGTGTACTGTTTTTAATCGTTTATGTGTAATTAAACAAAGGCGTCCATAATTAGAAAACCGACCGTTGGCGTAACGTTAGATAACGTTACAACGTCCCGCACTCAGTTTAACTTTTGAAATAGCACAAAACAACATTTTAGTGCAGTATATTAAATTTCCATTGATTTGGGTTGAAGGTTGGTATCTCATGCAGTTCTAATGTCTCTTTTGTGACCTTTCCTTTCCTGTCATTTTTAATTTATAGTTTGTTTATGTTTGAACCCATGCATATGAATTCCCGCCCACTCAAAGTTCTGAATATATCCTTTGATTGTTCCTTGCTGTAGTACAGTTCTCTTCCTATCTTTCAAGCAAAAATTTTGCAATTGTAAATTTGTATTGAACGGCAATTAATCAATCATTCAAAAGTTCAAATTCGGTTGCAAGCTCTCATAATTTTATAATAACCGGAAAAGTACTAGTAACATTTGCAGATGCATTTATGTTAACCTTCACATGGCCCAGCTTAACAAGCTTTGTTTATTCTTACTCAAACGCATTCATATATATGGCGACCATGCAGCCCCTCTTGAACTCAGTTCTGCATGGCACTTGCAACATTATGTAAACCAACACCAGTTACCATGCTGAGAGACATCTGGTTCAGGTCATTGACCTTATTTGTTTGGAGAAGAAGAGGAAGAAGAGGATGAAACTGAGGAAAAACAATGTGTTTTCCTTCGGTAAACATAACTACTACTAAGCTGTTAAACATAGATGTGACTTCAATAATCAGTAGAAATTCAAATAGTCAGCTTAAAAAAACAATGGACGCATGTTAGAAAACAGATTTAATGTTGTGTGTATTTTGCTTTGAAACTATCAGGTCTTTACGGTCGCTGGTGGCTAACTTCAGTTGCCATGCCAACCACGTACACGCCCTTCCCCCGAACATCAAGGACAGGCTGGTCCATCTCATGAGCAAGAGGGGGGTCATCAAGGATGATAACATCGGAAAGGTCAGGCCTAGGGAAAAAAATGTTGTGTTTCCTGTTTCAGTCTTGAAAAATTAGTGTCGGTAGGGATTATCTTTTTATTTTCATTCTTTTTCAAATTGGTAACATAGTAGGATTCGAACCCTGGACTTCTTGGTGCCGAGCTAAATACTAGTATGCTAGGAATTACGCCTACAACAATGGGTAATCTTTAACAGGTGGTTCATCAGAAGATGCGAGAGTTGGACCTGAGTGAGAGTGAGGTCAGTGACCTGAGTCTGGAGCAGCTGTCCGTGTGCCGGAACCTCCGTAAGATTGACCTGAACGCCGTGAAAGGGAACACAACAACTGTCACAACTGCAGGTGAAGATTGTTTATTTGTTTGTTTGTTTGTTTAAGGAACCTCCTATTAGTGACAATACAACCACTACTCTTCCTGGAGTCCTCTTATATACATTGTAAAATACAAACATTATAACTACTTTGAAAAAAAAAACGTCTCACTAACATTTGTGACTTTATTTCTGACTCCCCCCAGGGATCCTCTCCTTGGTACGGTCCTGTAACCTTCTCCAGGTCGTTCACCTGCGGAGGTGTATCGAGATTACAGACGAGGCGATCGTGGCTCTGTCGGAGAACTGCCGCCAGCTGATGTGCCTGAACATCGGCGGCTGTGCCAAAATCACAGACAGGTCACTCCAGGCACTGGGACAGAACTCCAGGATGCTGAGAAGTATCAACTTTGGACACACTAAGGTAAGAGCTAGGAGGCTAAAAGGCACCCAACGTGACAGTTCAGTAAAAAAAAATCAATTTTCTGGCCAGATAAGTAGTAGTATTAATAGTAGTAGTAGTAGCAGTACTGTAGTAGTAATAGTACTGTAGTAGTAGTTGGAGTAGTAGTAGTAGTAGTTGGAGTAGTAGTAGTAGTAGTAGTAGTAGTAGCAGCAGCACTAGTAGTAGTAGTAATAGCAGTAGTACTGTAGTAGTAGTAGTAGTAGTTGGAGTAGTACTAGTACTAGTAGTAGTAGTACTAGTAGTAGTAGTAGTAGCACTAGTAGTAGTAGGAGTAGTAGTACTAGTAGTAGTAGTAGCACTAGTAGTAGTAGGAGTAGTAGTAGTACTAGTTAGCAGTAGTAGTATTAGTAGACTACTAATAATTGTGAGCCACATAAAGCTATACAGTAAGACTAGAGTAATAAATTGCACTGCTGGGTTTGTTTGATTTTTATTTTCTTAACACTAACAGATATGCTTTGTAAAATTATTTTGATGGTGAGTGATTTGGTATACTGTTGTTATTCTTTGTGTTACAATTGTAGGTCACTGATGATGGAGTCATTAGCTTGGCTACAGGAAAATGCAGACAGTGTCTGACGGTGGGTTAAGTTATTAAGATTTCATTTCATTTCATTAGCGCATCAAGTCCGGTGAAATTTCGAGATGCATACTTGTCATAACTTCTTGTAAAACTACTGTGACATAGATACCTTTTAACTTCAAGGTTTAGTTTTTAGGTTGTCCAACATGTTTGAGAATTTTCTTAGAAAACAGCAAATGTGTGACTCTCCCACATGGAAGTCATGCATTGAATAAATCAAGATGGATAGGGCTTTTACAATGTATCAAAAGTAAGTTCCCTTTTTCTCACCGTAGGAAGTCCACATGGATGGTTGCCAGCTGCTGACTGATGATGCAGTAGAGGTTATTATGGAGAGCTGTCCTCGTATCTCCATCCTCATCTTTCACAGCTGCCCCCAAATCACAGGTAAATGATTTTGAAGCATGGTTGTGTAAGAAAATAAGCATCCTATAGGCCTGCTAAAAAGACATATTGTTGTCTTCTACAATACGTACATCTTTGAGTTATAGATGCTATTTTCCAACGGGTTGGTGGAAAAAGCAGTCCGGTCCTAAAAGTCTACCCCCAAATCGGACGGGACTTGTTTTTCACCAATTGGACTGGACTGTTTTTTCCACCAACCCATTTTCCAACCTTTACTCCTCAGACCGTTCCAGAGTTGCTCTGGAGGAGTTGAGTGGACCCAACTCCAAGATGAAACAGGTGACCTGGACCATCTACTGAATCATGCTGGCGAGTGGCATGGAACGACTTCCAACAGATAATCAAATTTAAAGGTTTAAGTATATGTTTTCCAGGCTTATAAAGTCAAGGAAATTATCATGTCTGTATGCAACATTTTTTGAGAATATGAATTTTGTTTTGTTTGAACAATGGTAAAACTTACAGAAAATAGACTACTAGTCAGGAGAAAAAATACTAGTAGGAGTTTTCAACCAGTTTGAAAAGGGATGCCAAATAGTATTCAGCTTTGAAATTGTAGAGTGTATATATTCAATGATGTTTATTAAGGCTAAAAGCTGCTTTTCTTTCAGCATTATTCTACATTCTCAAATGATGTGTAAGACTTTATATTTTTTGAGGTTGACACTTTTATTTTTGTACCACATACAAACAGTAATTCTTAAGTAATACATGAATATCATATTATGATAGAAGATTTCAGGAGTTTGTGTAACACTGGAAATTCTTATATAATTAGATATGAAATTGTGTCCATTCCTTAATAATTGAGGTACTTGTTGATTTTTGTCATGCTAACAGCAAGATTTGTGTGATATCTTTGTGAATTGTGTACATTAGAATACACACTGATACTTCTCTGAAATGATACTTTTGCATGACAATGCACAAAGAACTCAAACACCCTTAAAACAATAGCTCACATCATTTTGATTTGCAACAATAGTCTTTTTTGGAGCATGATCAGTTGAACTTCATATTTTTAAGAATGAGCAATATGTATTACACATAATTCTGCAGTATCTAATTGCCCATTGTACATGTACAATGTACTGCAAATTTACCTACTAGGCCAAATTACCAGTATCTGACACAGTATTTGATACATTAGCACCATGTGTGTGAATATTAGTGGATGAATTTCTTTGCACAGCAGCCAGTAACTTTACTTTCGTCCATCCTTTGCGGTGGTGGTTTTTTTTCCTGCCTCATCTCCCCCATGTAGCGAGTGGTTCACTCCTTATCTTGGTCGAACACCACCCCGACGACCTTCCGTGCCTGGTCCAGGATACCGGCTATCTGTAGGCTCATGGCGTGGGTCATCAGGGGACTCTCAATCAAATCTGTGAGAGACACAGAACTGGTTTCAGTTCTACAGACAGGGTTTCAGTACTAAGGACAGTGCTTCAGTACTAAGGACAGGGACAGGGCTTCGGTACTAAGGCCTGGGACAGGGTTTCAGTACTAAGGACAGGGCTTCAGTACTAAGGACAGGGCTTCAGTACCAAGGACAGGGCTTCAGTAATAAGGACAGGGCTTCAGTACTAAGGACAGGGCTTCGGTACTAAGGACAGGGCTTCAGTACTCACGAGAGAGCTTCAGTACTAAGGACAGGGCTTCTGTTCTTGATACATTTGAATATTCTAACCTTCCTGAAGACACCTCCTGACTTCCATGGCCTCGTACCTCATCCCTGTAGCGTTGAAGTAGTTGATGGGTTTCCCAGCTGGGGGGAGGGGGAACTTGTGGGTCCCGTCTGGAGCAACCAGCTCTTGAGGACTCCAGAAGGATGGAATCTGCAAAATGTCATCATAGAAATGATGCATACAATTGGGATTTGTGGAAAAAGCAGACTGCTTGCACTGTTGGGGTATTTTGCAAGAGGGCGCTACTACACAAAGAAACGACCAGCCTGCTTTTTTCACCACAGGGTGCCTGCTACAGCACCAGCTACCATGGCGACAGCCATGTGATCCTTGTCATTGACCCTACTTGTTTGGAGGAGAAGAAGAAAAAGAAACAGAGCAAAAACAATTATGTATTCCTTCTGGGAAGGTTAACAATACTAATCCGCTGGAGTAAGCCCACACCTTGAGAGTTCCCTTGGTCCCGTACACGTAAGCCTCGTTAGCCAGGAGTGAGGTCATGCAGCAGACCAGGGTGGCCATCCTGTTCCCGCTGTACTTCAGGATGATGCTCACAGTCTCGTCCACTTCTGTAACAACACAGCGTTGACATGTATCAGCTATAACATGTATCATTACATTTACACCACTCTTAGCCAATAGAAAACCCCTTTTGAAGTTGAAACGGCAAGAAACGTGCTTTTGGAGTCAGGTTACAAAATGTCTGGTTGCAAATGGAGCTATTTTGAAGCTGATGATTTTTTTTCATACAGTACATTTAGTGTCTCTGGAAGATGTTATTCATTAAATTTGGGGTTAAATTTTGATGACAATAAAGAACAACTTAGATATTACTAAAAAGGTTACATTTGCAAAGCAGGTGCATAATGTTTACCTTTGCTTATGATCTGCTCTGCTAATTCTTACTCAAACATTCATAATATATATATGGTCAGACAGGAGTCTAAATCCCTCCTGCTATAAAATTGCAACATGATGTAACCCAACACTAGTTACCATGGCGACAGACGTCTGGTTCAGGTCATTGACCTTATTTGTTTGGAGAAGAAGAAGAGGAAACAGAGCAAAACAATATGTTTTCCTTTGGTAAACATAATAATGGCTCACCGCTGTCAGTTAGGTGTCCGCTAACAGTGATGTCCTCTGGTTCTTCTCCTTTGAACACAAAGTTGGCAAACTGGACTGGATAGAAGCCGAGATCCATCAGAGATCCACCTGCCTGGGATCTTAACAAGATCACAGATTCATCAACAAATTAGAAAATCTGGATCTGGTACTAAAATTTGTTTAATTTCAAAGTGGACATAATGCTGTTTTGGAACATAACCTAAGTAAATGGAAACAGAAGAGGTATGGCCATGTCTCATGGTCATCAGGACTAGCCCAAGGGGCCATTTGGGAGGCCAAATCCATGAATGTGTAACAGGGGCTTAACCAAAACATTAAGAGGAACAGAAAACTGAGAAAAGTTTTTTAGGCCACGTTGGCTACGTTTTTCTGAAAACATAGTGAAGGAGTGGCGTCAACACACATCACTCGCACGGTTGCGCAAGGTGTGGTCTGCACGTACGCCACATCTGGCCGTGAGCCGTTGCGTGCATTGTTCAAGTGGTAAGTGAGTTGTACGTGCTTACAACGTACGATCTCTGTGCGATTGCCACTTTACCGTAAGGAGGCTGTACTCACACGTTCGTCTTATATACGGTACGCCTGGGGCACGCGCGTTGCCCGTACTGGCTCGTACCCGGGGTGAATCCACGGGGTGACCGAGGCTTAAGGATCAGAAGGTAAAGTTGACCATGTAAGTGACCATGATGAAAGCAGAATCGTGCTAACTCACCTTTCCTTCATCCTTGGCTCATCGCCCTTCGGAAATCCAAAACACGCGGTGACCAGTCTCACGTCCCCAATTCCTCCTGAGTCCATTATTTCACGGGCTTTCAGGTACACCGGAAAGAAACGACTCCAAGCAGCCTAATGTTTCAAACAAAAACAACAATCCTTATAACATAAAATCCAACATTATTTTTTATAGTACAACCGTGAGTATACTGTATTGACAATAACGGAGTGTACTTCCGAATTACATAATTATCTAATTTAACTCTAATAAAAAGCAAGAATTAGCCTGGGTACCATCCGGATTTTTGCTCCTCAATGCTCGAAAAAAATTTTTCCTGTGCTGGCTGCCCAAGTCACAGAGCCTGCAAAGAAGGCTACAAAACTACCTCCATAAAGAAGATGTTTTTCTCCTTAGCGAGGCCGATCATCTGCCGCGCCTCTCGGGAGTTGACTGACATCGGCTTCTCACACAGGACAGGCTTCCCCGCCTGGAGCATCATGGTCGTCACTGGGGCATGCTGGGTATGGATGGCGCCGATGTATATAGCATCTGGGTAAAATGAAACAAACAAAAACTAGAAAGATAACATTTGCAAAGCAAATGCATAATGTTTACCTTCACATATGGTCTACTCTATCTAATTCTTACTCAAACACATTCATATATATGGTGACAGGAGTCCAAATCCCTCCTACTATAAAATTGCAACATGATGTAACCCAACACTAGTTACCATGGCATGGTAACAGATGTCTGGTTCAGCTCATTGACCTTATTTGTTTGAGGAAGAGGAAGAAGAAACAGAACAAAACATATGATTTCCTTCTGCGAAGGTAAACATCAACCGGAGATTGAAAATATGTGTACAACCCAGATATCATAACTCACTCAGCCCAATGCACTATTCCATTATGACACTGGGGACAGGGACAGCATTGCAGTACTAGGGACAGGGATTTCAGTACTAGGGACAGGGACAGCATTTCAGTGCTAGGGACAGGGATTTCAGTACTAGGGACAGGGACAGCATTTCAGTGCTAGGGACAGGGATTTCAGTACTAGGGACAGGGACAGGGATTTCAGTACTAGGGACAGGGATTTTAGTACTAGGGACAGGGACAGCATTGCAGTACTAGGGACAGGGATTTCAGTACTAGGGACAGGGGACAGCATTTCAGTGCTAGGGACAGGGATTTCAGTACTAGGGACAGGGATTTTAGTACTAGGGACAGGGATTTTAGTACTAGGGACAGGGACAGCATTTCAGTGCTAGGGACAGGGATTTCAGTACTAGGGACAGGGATTTTAGTACTAGGGACAGGGACAGCATTTCAGTGCTAGGGACAGGGATTTCAGAACTAGGGACAGGGACAGCATTTCAGTGCTAGGGACAGAGATCTCAGTACGTAATTAGTATCTTTACAGGGTAGGTAAAAATCAGAAATACCTGCACAGTGAGGCCCAATTCTGCCTGCACTAAGGTTCATATGCAGATGGTATTTCCAGCCCTCATGTCCAATGTTATGTTATTGATATCTATCCATATATTTTACCTATGTCGTCCTGTGCTGCCAGCTCTGCATATGATCCGTAAGCCCTCGGGATGTCGTGATGTTTAGCAAACTTCTGGGCACTCTCCAGACTTCTGGCTGCCACAGCCACAACCTATACCAACAGGAAAGAACTTCAAATCTTTGAATCTGAATCTAATAACCAGTATATTGCTATAGTTTCAAATGTATAGATGAGGTTTTATTAATCTCCAAGCAGATCCTACGGTGGGAAGACAGATCCAGAGGAGTATCCATTTATACTACTGATTTAGCCAACAAATTCAATGGATACTGCCTTGCCACCATAGGATACTGCTTTGAGATTAAGATTTTATGTCTTCAAAGAAACCAGGTTGACTGGATAAAACTCTCATATTCTAGTGAAAAATCCACAGTTCCGAGTTTAGACTCCGGAATTAAGCAAATTGATATTTATCTTCAGAAAACATATTGTTTTTGCTCTGTTTCCTCCTCTTCTTCTTCTTGTCCAAACCAATAAGGTCAATGACCTGAACCAGATGTCTATCACCATGGTAACTTGTGTTGGGTTACATCATGTTGCAATTTTATAGCAGGAGGGATTTAGACTCCGGTCTGAATAATGAATATATGTGAATGTGTTTGAGTATGAATTAACAGAGCAGACCATATGCGAAGGTTAACATTACTTAGTATGCATTTGCTTTGCAAATGTTACCTTTCTAGCTAACAATTCCTTTACCTGATGTTCGTCTTGAGGGAGGGTGTCCAGAGCGATTTTGAACTCGTTGCTGATCCTCCCTGCGCTCACAAACCCCCAGCGAGTCGGCGCCATGTTGACTTGACGTTACTTATTAACTTCAACACTCTGGAATGAAGCAACACTAAGGGCTTTGTTACTATTTAACGTCCAAGTCCATGAATCTGCACAATGTTAATTGGGTTGACGTTACTTATTAACCAGGACACGCTACAATAAGTAACTATACTATTACGGCTATTGCATGATAATTTGTTACACCACGATCAGAACACCCGCAAGTCACAATGACTTAACAAAAAAAATAGTATAACGTTAACGTTATATCATAAAATGTCAGGTAAAATTCTTGAATTGAAACCCAAAACGTTTTTGTCCATTTGTCCAACACAATAACATATTGTATTTTATTATATTTCAAGACACTAGTGAAATTTGGATTAAAATATGGACACGAGTGTCTAGTCATGCGTTACTTTATTCGACTTACTAGACTTGCTGGACAAGCTGGGCCTACATTTGAATCATTTTCTAGTGTGAAAAACCACGGAGGTTCCTTTTTTCTACCTCCATGGAAAAACAAACTGCATCGTAAATTAAATTGTGACATACGGAATGCAGCTAGCAGGCAGACGACACCTATTTTTATCTCAAACTATTTGAAAAAGCATGCATTGTACCTAAATCAAGAGATCTGCCATACCTGATTATTCTTAATTAATGCATATTTCTTCCTTACCTCTTTGTAGAATACCTTTCACTCCAGTGAAAGTTTCGCGTGCCTCCCCACCGAAACACTACTGAACTTTGTTTGACCCCATCAGCTGATATATTTTAGGCGTCTACCGTATTTCTTTCATTGCCTTATCATTCTGAACAGTTACCACCATAATAATTTGTTCATAATACCTATCAAATATGAAATAGTTTTCTCCAGTTCTGTTAAAAGAGTAACCGTTACTTACTTTAAAATATTACGCGTTTACCGAAGAGTATAAAGTATGGAGGCATTAAGATTTCTGCATGGTGGTCTACTAATCTGTGCTGAGGTGACATCTACCGACTTTGATACAAAGTGCAGCTTTTCCTCAGAATCTTATCAGCTACTACAGCCTGTATTAAATTGCTGTATTAAAGGTGCTAACACAATTATTTGATAAATTAAAATAGCCTCCACAACAGACAACTTGTAATATATTTTATTGCACACATTCTGGTACCAACCACTATCCCAACATTGTTACTCAATGACAAATACATTGTCTAGTGTTGTACATACAATTTTTTAAAACAACCATCCTTTCCCATTAAAGGCATATAAAGTAAGGTTACTTTCAGCGTATATCAGCTTTTATGGTAGATACATTACATTATTACCTTATCAGTTGAGTTATTTCTCATCTACACTGTATGGGGTAACATCAAGGTAACATTAACATCAGTCTTCTCTCCAAAGAAAGACACATTTATATTTGTATGCCATCTGAAAAAATATAATTTATTATCACTATAAGGTACTGTGGTGCTTCTGACTTAGTTTTGCATCTTCAAATAAGTAGGAAAAGAGCCTGCATGCCCTTTTTCATAAGGCCTTTTTAATCAGGCCTTTTTAATCTTCGTAATCTGTAGGCAGCAGCCCTAAATCATCTTAATTCGTTATCAGTACATTAGTGGTAACATGTAATGGTTCATGATCAGTTCTCAGAGTTAAGCGTAATTCGTAATCGGTGGCAAAAATCTTACATAATTTGTAATCACTACCCCCCATGCAGGCCCTCTGATAAGGCCCCATTCCATTTTAATTTAAGATCACAAAATCACTCCCTTATTAATGGTGTTTTATTCCTTGTCCTGGTCGTACACCACCCCGACCACCTTCCGTGCCTGGTCCATGATACCGGCTATCTGTAGGCTCATGGCGTGGGTCATCAGGGGACTCTCAATCAAACCTGAAATAGGGAAAAGAACAGAGTGTCAGAACAAAGTCAATGTGAAGTCTCAATGCACCTGAAAAGACATACCATACAACAAAACATTAAGGACTACTTTGAGAGATACCTACCAAACAAAGTGTACAAAGGGCAGGGGACAAGACTTCAATACTAAGGACAGTGAACAGGACTTCAGTAATAAGGACAGAACTTCAGTACTAAGCACAGGACTTCAGTACCAAGGACAGGACTTCAGTACCAAGGACAGGACTTCAGAACTAAGGACAGGACTTTAGTACTAAGGACAGGGCTTCAGTACTAAGGATAGGGCCCCAGTACTAAGGACAGGACTTCAGTACTAAGGACAGGGCTTCAGTACTAAGGCCAGAGCTTCAGTACTAAGGACAGGGCTTCAGTACTAAGGACAGGACTTCAGTATTAAGGCCTGGGACAGGGTTTCAGTACTAAGGACAGGGACCGGACTTCAGTACTAATATTGTAGAGCTTCTATTCTTAATACATTTGAATATTCTGACCTTCCTGAAGACACCTCCTGACTTCCATGGCCTCATATCTCATCCCGGTGGAGTTTTTAAAGTTGAGCGGCTTCTCTGGTGGAGGGAGGGGAAACTCATGGGTACCGTCCGGGGAGATCACCTCTGTAGGACACCAGAAGTTTGGAATCTGAAAAATGTAAGAAAATTCAGGTGTACTTGGTGATCATTTTATATAACTTAATACTTTTAGAACTAGAAAGGTAACATTTGCAATTTTTGCGAAGCAAATCCATAATGTTTACCTTCGCATATGGCCTGTTTGGTTAATTCTTACTCAAATACATTCATATAATGTTATGTATACATTTGGTCAGACAGGAGTGTAAATCCCTCCTGCTAAAAAATTGCAACATGATGTAACCCAACACCAGTTACTATGGTGACAGATGTCTGGTTTAGGTCATTGACCTTCTTGCTTTGGAAGAGAAGAAGAAAAAGATATCAAAAACAATATATATTCCTTTGGTAAGTATCATAATTTTATGTTTTTGTTGCCATGTTTTTAGTTTGGAACATATAACCTCAAAGCTTATAAATGTATGTATATCATCATTTTTGCATAATACATTACAGCAACAGTCCACATCTAGAATAATGTCCACACCTTAAGAGAAGCCTTTGTCCCACACACATAAGCCTCGTTTGCCACAACTGCAGACATACAGCACAGAAGTGTGGCCATCCTGTTCCCACTGTACTTCAGCACTACAGTCACTATCTCATCAACTCCTGCAACAACAACATCATTAGTCAGAGTAGCTTTTAAGTAAACAGAGCTAGATGTGTTAAGATTTAGTTTGTGACAGGTGCATGTAGTTTAGATGTAATACTAGAAAGGTAACATTTGTGAAGCAAATGCATAATGTTTACCTTAAAGTTTGCATATGGTCTACCGTTAATTCTTACTCAAACACATTCATATATATAGTCAGACAGGAGTCTAAATCCCTCCTGCTATAAAATTGCAACATGATGTAATTAGTTACCATGCGATGGTGGCAAGCGTCTGGTTCAGGTCATTGACCTTCTTGGTTTGGAGAACAAGAGGAAGAAGAAGAAACACAGCAAAAGCAATATGTTTTCCAATATTATTAGAAGTTGCAACCATGTACCTGCACATACAAATCTTTTGTTTGTTACACATGTAGTCCTAGCCTCTACCAGGCTTCATAGGCAGCTGGAATGAGAAATTGGCCAAGTAGACAGGCAGCATACCAGAGGAGTTAGTCTACAGTTCAGAGTGACAAACTGTACTCCTTTGTTGGACACTAACTCTATTTGGCCGATATCTACTCTTTACAGCTGCTTCTGAAGCCTGATAGAGGCTAGTATAGTCCGGCTATATACAGTTGCAGACAGGTAGGAATACAGCCAAATTTAGCTCTCTATGATAAAGTTGTCTAAAATATAGTATAGTTGGCCAGTGGCAAGGGGAAACAATAGTAGCTCACCCCCATCACTGAGGTGTCCACTAGTGGTGATGTCCTCTGGTTCCTCTCCTCCAAACACCATAGTGGCAAACTGGATCACATAGATCCCCAGATCCAGCAGGGATCCACCTGCCATGGATCTAACAAGATCACAGATCCAGTTACAAGTTATTTGCTTCCAGTAGAACACAGTAAGTGGCACATGTACAGATGATTTGCAAAGAAATGATATTCATAAAACTATACAACTGAGTGTAAATGTGACAATATCAAACAAAGCAGAACTAAATGATGAAACAAGTGGGCCCTGTACATATTTGGATCAGTATAGAAGGTATAACCGCCCCTCTGTGTAACACACCAGCTTCGCAGGCACACAGCATGGTGGCAGGCTATATTATACCAAATGAATTGTTACATTTAATCTTTGCACATTTAATTGCAGAAGTTGTTTAAAGCTTTCTAGTATTCTGTGATTAAACTGATTTGGATGGCATGTTCGGTATTACAAGTAAGATAAACATGATCAAATGCTCAGTTAAAAGAGTCAAATAACAACAGCAACATTTACTGACCTTTCTTTTACCCTGGGTATATGGCTGATGTTACCCCCGAAACATGCAGTCACTGCCTTAACCTCCCCAACTGCCCCTGACTCGATGATTTCACGGATTTTTTTGTACACTGGGAAGAAACGACTCCAAACAGCCTGTAACAAAACATGAATTACTTCATAATAAGGATAAAGTTTATCTTATGTTAAAGCCAAATGACAAGCCTCACTTGGTCAGTCTACTGAGGAAGACAAGAGTGACTGGTTGAAAGCTCTAGATGAATGTCTTTGTGTTGGATCTAAAGTTTTAACTTTAAACATATTTTCTAAGCTGTTGTGACAATCTTTGCTTTACAGAAACTCATGACTTTTCTTCTTTCTTTCTTTCTCTCTCTTTCTTTCCTCATCACTTTAGGAAACAATCAACAGCATTACACACTCTTTGCTACAGCACCAACTTAGTTTACAGTTAGGATAAAGTTTTGTTTAATTGTGTTTAAAATATTTTATATTTATGGGCTTGGGCTACAAGTCTAATACAAATAGATGAATACATGATATGACACATGACAAACTTTCTTAAAGATGCCTGAATACCTCCATAAAGAAGATGTTGTTCTCCTTAGCGAGGCCGATCATCTGCCGCGCCTCTCGGGAGTTGACTGACATCGGCTTCTCACACAGGACAGGCTTCCCTGCCTGGAGCATCATGGTCGTCACTGGGGCATGCTGGGTATGGATGGCTCCGATGTACACAACATCTGGGGTGAATTGAAAAATTTATGTAAACCCTACCATCTAGATTTATGATTACCATATTGTTTTTGCTCTGTTTCTTCTTCCTCTCCTTCTCCAAACAAGTGAGGTCAATGACCTGAACCAGACGTCTGCTTCCCTGGTAACTGGTGTTGGGTTACATCATGTTGCAATTTTACAGCAGGAGGGATTTAGACTCCTGTCACCATATAATATATATATGAATGTGTTTGAGTAAGAATTAACAGAGCAGACCATATGCAATGGTAAACATTTATGCATTTGCTTTGCAAATGTTAAATTTCTAGTTATATTAATCTTTTTCTTCTGTCATTTACAAACTCCTTTACAAATATGCTGAAAAAATGTCATTATCTACAAAATGAGACATTAGTCTACTTATTAAAAGTCTTTAGAATTGTAGTCAATTGATTTAATAATTTAAAAAATCTTACCTATATCCTTCTGTGCTGCTAGCTCTGCATATGACCCATAAGCTGTTGGAATGTTGTGAGTTTCAGCAAAGTTCTGGGCACTTTCGAGGTTTCTAGCTGCCACAGCCACAACCTTTACAATATTGAAATAATACGTAACAAAGATTTAAATTGATAGACTGATGAATAAGTATGATTAAATTTGAATTGCAAAGACAAATTGATAAGAACAATATCTTGTCTGGTTGTTGCCCTGTTTAAGCATTGTTATTTTAGCAGAAATTCAGTCCTCAAAATGAGTAGGAAAACAACAGTTCACAGTTAAAACTTGTCATTAAAGGAAATTGTAGTAAACTCCGGAGCTCACTTGATGTTCTTCCTTCGGCAGAGTGTCCAGGGCCACCTTAAAGTCGTTGGAGATTTTCCCAGCGCTCACGAACCCCCATCGAGTCGGCGCCATAGTACAGGCTTAGTTGTCGAGCTAGTCTGACCACGTACTGAGGAAAACAACATTTTGAGGTCTCTTTCCGCAAAGTTGTTCTCATTGAATTAGATGCCTATTTAGTCTTATGTCTTTGGACCAAATATGAGGTGCACGAACGTCTGATTTTAAGAATCAATTAAGACACACTATAGATATTTACGGACTTTGTCTCGTCTGCGTGATTATTATTGTTATTGTCAGAGCAGACCGACATGGGTTAGATCCTTTTACTATTTTGAGCTCAAACGTATGTTATTTTATGGACAGAACGCTGACTGTTAGTTGCTGATACTAAATATGTAAAACCCTGCTGAAATCTCTCTTTCTTTACGCCTGTTTCGTCTTAAGTTACAAAGGTAAAGTTTTACCTGGACCCTTACCTGTTCACGTCACATGTGCCACTCCCCTCCCACCAGCTGGTAACCTTTGACCCCTTCTGACTGGGTCGTCTGTTGTAGACATTTTGCTGCCTGAATGTATCATCTCCCCATTTCTTAATCTATCCCTCAAAAAGAACGCATTTTCTTTATTGTGTGAAGAAAAAATGATATTACAAATCACTAGGTGTACGTTTGATAAACTGTAGCGAAAATCGTAAAACAAACAGGCATAAAGATCATTACACGCTAGACTGCTATAATTCTATCTCTCATAAAAATTAAAAAAAAAGGTTTGGAAAACTCCGGAAAACGCAAATCCTCATATTTTTCCGCTTAGATATTCGTATTGACGGATTGAATTATTTAACATTTAGATGGATCAGATAGGATGACAACAAAAAAGACAGTGTACAAAGTACCAAGAACAACTTTTGAAGGACTTTTATTGAGACAGATTTTCCCCGTAGGTTGAAAACTCTCCAGTCCTACTCCCTGAGGCATACGTTTACTGAAAATTTAAAGTTAATGAATATTCTTAAAGAATTTTATTTCATAGTTATTATAGTTATTATTAATATCTGGCTTTCGAGGTAGACTAATATAATAATGTCGATCGAGCATCTCATATGGTTCATAAATCAGGGAACCAAATTAAATGTATATCTTTCTATTTCCTGAGAGAGTTTAAGCTTCTACTTTCTCGTCGCCATTTTGTGGTTTACTCCTTGTCTTGGTCGTACACCACCCCAACAACTTTCCGTGCCTGGTCCAGAATACCGGCTATCTGTAGGCTCATGGCGTGGGTCATCAGGGGACTTTCAATCAAACCTGCAAATAAAAATAATTAACGTTATAATGATGAAAATCAGAACAATAACGTTACCCTTGTTAAATGACTAGATCGGATAATGGTTGAGTCTCAAGTTCTCAACATCATTGGTACCGACAGGTCTTCAGTACTAAGGACAGTGGGCAAGACTTCAGTACTAAGGACAGGGCTTCAGTACTAAGGACAGGGCTTCAGTACTACTAAGGACAAGTCTTCAGTACTAAGGACAGGGCTCCAGTACTAAGGACAGGGCTCCAGTACTAAGGACAGGGCTCCAGTACTAAGAACAGGAATTCAGTACTAAGGACAGGGCTCCAGTACTAAGGACAGGGCTCCAGTACTAAGGACATGGCTCCAGTACTAAGAACAGGAATTCAGTACTAAGGACAGGAATTCAGTACTAAGGACAGGGCCTTAGTACTAAGGACAGGACTTCAGTAATAACGCCGTGGGTTTCTCTGCTTAACACATTTTAACATTCTGACCTTCCTGAAGACACCTCCTGACTTCCATGGCCTCATATCTCATCCCGGTGCTGTTTTCAAACATGAGCGGCTTCTCTGGTGGAGGGAGGGGAAATTCATGGGTACCGTCCGGGGAGATTACCTCTGTAGGACACCAGAAAGTTGGGATCTGCAAAACATATATGATATAGAAAATTACACATGTTTGTACACTGTCTTTTTTTCAAACCCTGCATATTTTGATTACCACTCTGTAACATGTCTATCCGTTGTTTATCAGTTTGATTTGCTACAAAATGTCAGATACTTTTTGTTTGCGACGTGAGTTGTGCCGAATATAGTTTTCATGATCAAGCTAGAGGCTGGCAGAGCCTGAATTTTTTTTTGTGGGGGGGTGGAATACTAGTGTGTAGACTGCATATTTGAAAATACATGTATGAAAATAACAAAAGTAAGCGAAACGCCTGGAAAAGGCCTACGCTTCTGACATTTGCACACACCTTGACAGAGCCCTTTGTCCCGTAGACATACGCTTCTTGAGCGAGCTGTGCGGATGCGCTACAGACCAGTGTTGCCATCCTGTTGCCGCTATACTTCAGCACAATGGTAACAGTCTCATCCACCCCTGTGCGTTAACATTAAACGGTTAGTGATAAGTACAGGACAGAACTTTAGTACTAAAGAGGGGATAGGACTTCCGTACTAAGGACAGGACTTCAGTACTAAGGACATGACTTCAGTACTAAGGACAGGGGGCTTCAGTACTGAGGACAGGACTTCAGTACTAAGTATTGAAGCCCTGTCCTTAGTAATGAAGCCCTGTCCTAAGGACAGGGCTTCAGTACTAAGGGCATGGCTTCAGTACTAAGGACAGGGCTTCAGTACAAAGGACAGGACTTCAGTACTGAGGACATGACTTCAGTACTAAGGACAGGGCTTCAGTACTAAGGACAGGGCTTCAGTACTAAGGACAGGGCTTCAATACTAAGGACAGGGCTTCAGTACTAAGGGCATGGCTTCAGTACTAAGGACGTGGCTTCAGTACTAAGGACAGGACTTCAGTACTAAGGACATGGCTTCAGTACTAAGGACAGGACTTCAGTACTAAGGACATGACTTCAATCCTAAGGACAGGGCTTCAGTACTATGGACATGGCTTCAGTACTATGGACATGGCTTCAGTACTAAGGACAGGACCTCAGTACTAAGGACAGGGCTTCAGTACTATGGACATGGCTTCAGTACTAAGGACAGGACTTCAGTACTAAGGACAGGGCTTCAGTACTAAGGACAGGGCTTCATTGCTTTCATTCGGTATATTTGATACAGCTCACCCCCATTGCTGAGATTTCCACTAACAGTGATGTCCTCTGGTTCTTCTCCTCCAAACACCATAGTGGCAAACTGGATCGGGTAAATCCCCAGAGCAAGCAGTCCTCCTCCTGTTATGGACCTAAGAAAATCAAAGACGTCTTTAAATTAGGGTTTGTTACGTGCATGTCTGACAGTCACTCAAAACGATTTGTTTAACAAGAACCTAATCGTATTTATGTTAACCGAAGGAAAACATTGTTTTTGATCTGCTTCCTCTTCAAAGCTTCTTTTCCAAACAAATAAGGTCAATGACCTGAACCAGACGTCACCATGGTAACTAGTGTTGGGTTACATCACGTTGCAATACTTTATAGCAGGAGGGATTTAGACTCCTGTCGCCAAATACTAGTATATGAATGTGTTTGGGTAAGGAGTAACAGATCTAGAGCAGACCATATGCGAAGGTAAACATTATGCATTTGCTTTGCAAATGTTACCTTTCTAGTACAACTTGCCTTTCCTGTTCATAGCCAGCTACGGGCAGATTCTTCCCAAGACATACGGTGATCAGCTTTACCTCTCCAATAATCCCAGAGTAGAGGATCTCACGGACTTTCTCGTACGATGGGAAGAATCGAATTTTTATAGCCTTGGTCAAAGGAAAAGAAAAAAGAAGAAAAACTAACCTTTCTAGCCTAGCTTCGGCTATAACTTTTCCCAAACATGCTGTGACCAGTTTCACATCTCCGAGAAGACCAGAATCGAGGATCTCACGGATTTTCTTGTACGATGGGAAGTGTCGACTCCAAATAGCCTTGGTCACAACACAAACACACAAACAAAGCTATATCGTAAGACACCTCTACTGTATATTAGTATTGTCAATGGATCTCGTATTTTCAGGTATTAGTCAGGGATATACATATTGTTTATTGCTGTCTTTTAGTAATGTCCAAACAGATCTTTCGGCAGGCAGCATTTGCCAGACAGGCCAATGGATACTGCCTGGCAAACGGACACTACCTGGCCAATGTAATACTGCAAAACTGCAGAAACAAGCCCCAAGATGAGTCCTTTATTTTCGGGGTGGTACCCTAAAAGTCAGCCCAGGGCCCTTCCAGTAACCATTCATGACGTAACCATTACGAGGGTCAATATACATTGAGACAGTGTGGTTTCAACTCAGTGTGTAGATAAATTACTAGAATGTTGGCTTTGAAAAATCGGGTTTCCAATCCCTTAAAACTGCATTGCCATTGGATGTCTTTATAACATACGGTTTTTTTGCATTTCTTGGATCATGGAGAAGTCTGAATACCTCCATAAAGAAGATGTTGTTCTCCTTAGCGAGGCCGATCATCTGCCGCGCCTCTCGGGAGTTAACTGACATCGGCTTCTCACACAGGACAGGCTTCCCCGCCTGGAGCATCATGGTCGTCACTGGGGCATGCTGGGTATGGACAGCACCAATGTACACCACATCTGGGGTAAACAGATTAACAGTAATACGTGTTTACTAAACACATTTGCAGCTAAATGGTCCCAAGCACGTTCTTTGTTTCAAAATAAAAACACATAGCTCTAGCCTATTGAGTTAAATCTAGATCATTTGTCTTCTGCAAAGAGAAACTCTGGCGTAGACTGTTTTAGCATGAATGAGCTTATTTAAGGTCGTGATGCGATGTCAGTATACAGAATTAAAGCTACTAGAACATGGGAATGAGTACTGCGGCCATGTCAACAAAAGTCAATACAATTGACGAACCAATGTCATCCTGTGTTGCAAGCTCTGCATATGATCCGTAGGCTCTTGGGATGTCGTGAGTTTTAGCAAACGTCTGGGCAGTTTCAAGGTTCCTAGATGCCACAGCGACCACCTGTATAACACACACAGAAGTAAAACATTTAAATTTCTGAATCTGAATTGCTTTATCTGGACATACTAGGAGATAGATGCTAAAATCTTTGTATTGTCAGAGGAAGATAACATGTCGCAGTGCCTAGAAGTGGTCAGTTGGCTTTGCATTGACCAACACAAAGTAAAAAAAAGGATCTCTTACTTGATGTTCGTCCCTTGGCAGTGTGTCGAGAGCCACTTTGAAATCGTTGCAGATTCTTCCTGTGGCCACGAACCCCCAGCGAGTCGGCGCCATGTTTATGTGTTACCTATTACACAGGAGTCACTCAGTGACATAAATCGTTTGGGACTTGGGCCATGGCTAGCCTCCGTAGCTGGCTTATAGAACTGGGGGTTTGGTGGTCTTCGGCTGTTTTCTGATTAGCCCAGTTTTTGGCATGCTATAGAGGATAGGCCATGGCCGACACCACCAGAAATGACGAAAACGCCTTTTTATGTAACGTATTGGATTACAAATCTTTTTAGATACACACACACTAGCCTGATTAAATCGCTTTTGCCGGCCGCCCAACATCCAGCCGGCCCCCTACTCTTGGGTGGCGGACTATGTAGGGAGCCCCCCGGAGCTTTGGTTACATAGGCTACACACACACGACTAAAATCATTGTAGACTTGTCGAAAGTATTACCGGTAATATATAAGTTGCTAGCATTCACATACTTTCTCCCCCTTGCGCTGATTTTATACCTGTATACATTGTATGAGAAAACTTTAAAAAGTCCTGCCCTTGATCTTTACAGAAAGAGCCACTAAAATACTCACTAAAATATGGCTGCTAGAGAATCCTTACCTGGGTTTATCAACTTTTACGTCTGATACTCCTACCACCACACACCGTCGTCACCTTTAACCCAGTCCCCTTGGTCAGTCAGGTCAATTGGCTCAGTGAACTTTGCCCTACCTGGACAACTAGGATCACAGTGTTCATGTACTAAGTTGTCACTTGGTTTTTGCCCTACCCAATGAACAGTACAAAGTGCCTTTGAGTTACACCGTAAGATACTTTATTTCATTTTGATGGCAAAGATAGCAGGCTACCTTATTACCGTGTAGTATTCAATTACCTTATGAAGGTAATTGAATACTACACTGTGCTAGTTTGTTGAGCTGTACATGTAGTTAATAATCACCCAAGCACTGTAAACAAACTATGAAAAGAGCATGTTGGGTCCTGAAAGTTAGAGCCAACTATAATAACAAGAAATGCATCTTACTTCTTTAGCCCACACCAAATAAAACTTCAAATGAATGGACAAAGTGTATACGGCAAGACATTGGCACAACTATTATTTACTATAACGCTGCCATAGCCGCCTCCCAACGACGGTAACAACTTCAGCGACTAGCCGGATACTGATGTGGTACAGTACAGTTTATACCAGGCTTACAATAAAACTAGAAAGGTTATGATATTTGCGAAGCAAAGCATAATGTTTACCTTCGCATATGTTCTGCACTATTTAAAATTCTTACTCAAACACATTCACATATATGGTGACAGGAGTCTTAATCCCTCCTACTATGAAATTGCAACATTATGTCACCCAACAACAGTTACCATGGTGAGAGACGTCAACAAATTAGGACATTAGCCAGGTCAGAGGCTAGTGTTTGGAACGAAAGAAGAAGACGAAACGGAGAAAAAACGAATATGTTTTCCTTCGGTAAACATAATCAAAACACACGAGGTAAGAGCGCAACAGATACCTGGCTTTAAAACCAACTCGACTGCAGTCTAGGTCTGGTCAAGGGTGCATTTTGAAGACAAAGCTATATACACATGCTTATGTTATCAATGTAATACATAAGCGGTCTGTCCACTTGAAATAGCTGCAGAATATACGAGCAATTCACAAAGCCCTACTTTTCCCAGGTAACAAACTGTTGTATTTCAGTGTTACTGGTGTCACCTCGTCTTTAAGTGCTGAAGCAAATTCAGAGTCAATCTTCCAAGACAATACATAGCAGCATCCTATCTCCCTATGGCCACGGTAGGATTCAGCTAGCTGTCATCTTATTCCCTGCCCAACCCTTCTAGGCCATTGAAGACTTTTCCTCTAAGGCGTTTGACTTTAAGACGAACTCGATGTCTGTCACATCTGTATCCTGTGGCGGCAGAATCTTCAAGGGGTCCGCTGGAATCTCCTTCCCAGGCGGAAGCTCGCCGGAAATCTCGTACCCAGGCGGTATTTCGCCGGAAATCTCGTACCCAGGCGGTAGTGCGCCGGAGATCTCGTACCCAGGCGGGGGGTCGTCCTTGTCCGTGGTGCTGATCTTGATATCCGGCGGCAGCTCGACTTTAGCAGCGACGGTAGCCACGTTCACGGTCCCTTCGCTGTACGGAGGTGGCGGTCCTCGCCTCCTGCGGACCAACCAAGCTGGGAAGAGGGCCCCATTCTTGAGCTTCATATGGTAGATTACGAACGCAATCCCGCACTGGAAAAAAGAAAATAGAAATTAAGTAAGTTAACTAAGTTTATCATGTTTACCTTCGCAGAAGGAAAACATATTGTTTTTGCTCTGTTTCTTCTTCCTCTACTTCTTTTCCAAACAAATAAGGTCAATGAACTGAACCAGACGTCTGTTACCATGGTAACTAGTGTTGGGTTACGTCATGTTGCAATTTTATAGCAGGAGGGATTTAGACTCCTGTCACCATATATATGAATATGTTTGAGTGAGGATTAACAGGGCAGACCACATGCGAAGGTAAACATTGTAGTTTATAGTTAACTTAAATATAGTACAGCTTTGAAGAAGCATTTACAAGTCTATTACATTAACTACTAGATGCCTAGATGCACTTGGAAGTTAACACAAAAACCATGTGAAGTATCAATGGACTTACCGCGAAGACGAACGCAAAGGTACCGACGATCAACATGGTCTTCTCGACAACTGACATAGGCGGGTTTCCACATGACTGTAAAGAGTGCATAAAATATAGCGCTGTCAGGTATGGATGCAGTTCAGTATATTATAAAATAACAAATTACTTAATTGTTGATTGAACAACAAAGAGCTAGTATAGGACAAGCTGAGACCAATATGGCCGAACATTTTTATGACGGTTACCAAACTAACAATTAAATATATATATATATCTACCTGCTTTCCATCGTCTCCACACACATCAGACACCTTTGCTGCATCTCCCAGCAATTCCGGGTCCTCTGTCGTAATTTCCGGTGATGGTGAAGTTTTGACAGATTCTGTGCCCTGCACCGCTGCCGGCTTTTCGGTAGATGGCGCTTTTCCCTCCGTTGTTGGAACCGAGGTGGTCGGTTTGGCGGTTGTTGTGGTCGGTTCTGCAGGTGGTGTTGTCGTCTTGGCCGATGTTTCTGCGGAAGTTGTATGTTTAACAGTCGTGGTTGATCGTGTTGTTGTCTGCACAGTAGTTGTGATTTCTGTAGTTCGATAAAGTGCAAAGTTAAACATATAAATCTACAAGTGTTGTCACTCCTATATGGAATCGGTAGTTTGAAATGGGTTTTCATCAAACAACAATGAAAGCATTTTAGGCGAATTGTGAACGGGCACGGTTTGAAAGGAACGTGTGGCACGTGGACCAGATGTGAGGAATGAGAGTTTCCCGAACCGTGGTTCAGGCGATTTGGTGTGAACAAGGCCATATTTACCTGTACAGGTGTGTCCATCTCCCACGTACCCAGATGCGCACTGACAGCTGTAACTGCCGTCCGTGTTTGTGCAGGTGGCGTGGACGTCACAGGTGCGCCTCTCGTCACATTCATCAACATCTGCGGAATATAGATGCACAAAAATACATCATTTCTCATCTGAAGCTGTTCTATCCTAATCCCACCCTCCCTATGGTAGGGTGAGACACTGGATATGCATGTTGTACTGTTAATCGTGTGTTTACGTTTTAGTCTCAAAGAAAAAAATGTTTTTTTCTTCTTATGAATAAATGGAACCAGATCGGAAAAAGATTGCTTTCTGCGGATGAATATTGAATACAGACGGTCGAAATGAGTCTGGATGCCAGCGAAAAACATTCAGACAATCAACAACAGTGTTACTTGAAGTAGAGTTTTCTTAGTCTCTACCAGGCTTCGGGAGGCGGCTGGAAAGAGTAGAAATTGGCCAAATAGAGAGATAACATGCCAAGGGAGTTGGTCCGATAGAGAGTACATTCTGATACGGCAAACTATACACCTCTAGCGGACCAACTCCCCCGGCATGTTATCCCTCTCTATTTGGCCAATTTCTACTCTTTCCAGCCGCCTCCCGAAGCCTGGTAGAGGCTACAGTTTTCCGACCTGCGCATCTGGGGCTCTCATAGCCTCGCTCACAGCCGCTGCAGTAGTCCGGTCTGCTGCAGTGGCCTCCATGGGGACACGACGTGGAACCGAAGCACACCGCTGGAAAATAATTTTTAATGATTAAAAACGTAAAACATATACAAACTTATGTATTTAATTGCTCCTCTCTTCTACCGTCAATAACCAAAGCTATGATTTCTCTTAAAGACATCCAATTCAGTTTTTAGGGGCTTGGAAAACAGATTTTTCAAAGTCAATATTCTAGTCGACCATTTAACTACACAGTAAGTTGAAACAACACTGCCCCGCTGTATATCGACCGTCATGGAGCAAAAATGCCCCAAATTCTGACGAAAAACTGTATAATACTGGAAAAATCTGGATTGATTTTTAGGGTACCACCCAGAAAATAAAGGACTCATCTTGGGGCTTGTTTCTGCAGTTTTAAATTCCCAAAGTATGAAATGCTGATTAAAATGTGAAACAGTGGTGTCAATATCACAAAGATTGCCTTATTCACAATATTTACAGTTTTGCTACCCTGAAATTGCATTGTATGCTGAAGAGTTTAGGTGATCTAACATAATCAGACTGTGTACCGTTGCAGACCCGCCAGTGAGCTCCGCTTCCCGTGGTCCCATGCCTCGCCCCCTGGCACCTGTACCCGGTACTGCAGGGCCACAGACGGCAGGCCAGCGTCATCAGATACTCTTGCTGAAGCAAAATTTATAAAAACTCCTAATAGATGACCTCTATATCTTTCCCCTGGAAGACTTCTTAACAACTACATAATCCTTAAATCTTCGTTCATGTACTGCTATTGCAGAATGCTTTGGTCTTCAAGTAATCTACTACTGATACAACATCAGTGTTGTATTGTGTTGTGTTGTGCTGTGCTATGTTGTGCCGTGCTGTGCTATGTTGTGTTGTGCTATGCTGTGCTGTGCTATGTTGTGTTGTGCTCTGCTCTGCTGTGCTATGTTGTGTTGTGCTCTGCTCTGCTCTGCTCTGCTGTGTTGTGTTGTGTTGTGTTGTGTTGTGTTGTGCTGTGCTGTGTTGTGTTGTGCTCTGTTGTACTGTGCTCTGCTGTGCTATGTTGTGTTGTGTGTTGTGCTGTACTGTGCTCTGTTGTACTATGCTCTGCTGTGCTATGTTGTGTTGTGTGTTGTGCTGTACTGTGCTGTGCTCTGCTGTGCTATGTTGTGTTGTGCTGTGCTGTACTGTGCTCTGTTGTACTGTGCTCTGCTGTGCTATGTTGTGTTGTGTGTTGTGTTGTGTTGTGATGTGATGCAGAACTTTGTGCTCATCAGTACTTACCGCCTCTGAGGTTGACCTGTCCCATTCCCGGACCTCCTCGAAGCTGCAGCCCTCATGCGCGCACTCCTCCTCCAGGTTAGCGAACAAGCTCCAGAAACTCCGCTTCACACGGCGGTTACCCACAAAGCTGTGCGCCTCATTCTCCGTTAGGAACGGGTCCTTCCTCTCACTGGACCTGCACACGGAAAATGTCACAGAGAGGGTTTTTTCAATTCCAACATTTCATGACTAGACGTGGTGACGACACACTCAAGTTTTTTCAACTTATTCTATGCCGCCACCAACGCAGAGGACAAATACAGGATATATAGGACAATACTCGTTTTCACTTGAGTTAAGTGAGAAAAGTCGTGTAAAGTGCCTTTTCCAAGGGCACAAGATCGGTGGCATGTCAAGACTCGAACCCGGGACCTCTTGGTCCTCTTGGTTCCGAGAAGAGCACTCGATCCGCCCTTTACGACACACGACCCCACAAAGACCTCACAGAGAGTCAAGTTAGCCTGGATACCAGACTGTTTCCAGGGCCTACACTAGCCAGCTCTTCTGTTCCAGGACTAAATATTTATAACTCGCTGAAGGTTAGACATCCATGCCAGGTAATAAGATACGAAAAAAACAGTTCCTCAATCAACTGAATATAATTTTTGAACGTTCAGACGTTTCAGATAGCAACCGTTTCCAGTTCTTGAGCAATTTTGGCAATATCTATATCCCCCTAAGAAGTTTTACCAAAGAGTCACACAGAGGCCCTAGGGTAACCCTAAGAGTTAGGGTACCTCGTACGTGAGATACTTATTTATTTATTTATTGTTTGATTCAGACATAGCCCATAGACAACATAGACAACACAAAATGCATAAATTTAAAAATATACAATGTCTAGGATAAAAGAAACTGAGCGAGGGCCTATTTAAGGTCTGCTTACCAACTGGCAGTACCGACGCCAGAACTGACTTCTGGGGAAAGCATCGGAGCGTAAAGCAGACTGATGATGCCGTTACCCGACGCCAGGAGGCGAGCCGCAAAAGAGTGCGTCAGCTTTCGCCTCCTGGCGTCGAAGGTGTCGACACCCAACTGGGCAAAGAACAGGCTGTTACTAGTGGAGCGAGGCTGAGACATAATGATTCACATGATCATGAGATACATGTAACCTTATAATTCTAAATCTTTAAGGCTGCTTTTAAATATGCTTCGTCGGTTTATATAGTTGATAAATCCATCCATTGATTGTTTTATTGAAATTCTACAGGGTGTTAGACAGACAAAATAATCAGAATGCTCCAGACAGAACAATGATTATAATTAAAATTCATGTATCATGACGGCCATACTCTTCATAACATAGGTACCCTCTCCAAGTGGTACAAGCTATAAATTATTCAAAGTGTTATTGTAAAGGTCGGTTTTGCAACACGCAAGCTGTGTGTTATGTTTCTAGTTTTCTGATCTCGGATGAACACTAAAACCTTTAGTAAGTAATACGAAATGTATAAATTTGTGTTCGAAAGCTTCACTGTGATTTGTCTTAACATGTCTTTAATAATTTTACGTACACTGAAATATTATGTGTTATAACATACGTATATTTAGTAAGGCACTGGAATATATGACTCATTTGACAGCTATAACAAAGGCCTTGCGGTAGATGGTATATCTAAATTGTTGTTTATATCTATATTTAAATGTTTAAGATAGTCTACGCTACAAAATTGTTTTCCTTTCGTTAACTTTTATCGTAATACTGGTAAATGTTCGGGACTTCTTCCAATATTCCAACGAGCCCTTTTGCAATAGGTCTAAAGCCTTCGAACTATCGACTTGTGTGTCTCTGTAAACATTGCTTTGAAACCCTATGAGGGTATACCTAAGTACTAATCATAGTCATAGTTACGGTGGGAAACAACCTTTTGAGGGCCCCTAATTTCATTTGCCCGATGGGTAAAGTACAAAGAAAGTTACGCTTGACCGAGCCACCATGTATGGACGCGTAACTTCGAACCATACCTTGCCTGTATTTTAATATTGCTTGATGTACATGTTTTCATATCATTCAATTTATTCTAGTCATCATAAGAAAGTGGTACAAATGTCACATTTCTATGATATTTGTGAAAAATTGATTAAATATACATGTAATTAGCAGCAACCTTGAACATGTAGTATCATACAGGGGTGGGCGATCGGACAGAACCGAGGAAAATATTTAGAACCTTTTCCCGTCATTTGTAGTAGTTGGCATCAGAAATACATGTACCAGTAGAGCCCAATCTTAAAAGATGTATACGGAGTTTATTCTAATACTACTATTAGTAGTAAGAATGGTACAGTAACTACTATTAATGGTATATAGTATATACCATTAATAGTAGTTACGTTGGCTAGGACAAGCAGGAATAAGTAAGGGGGTACATCTCCAACATGACTATTTAAAACACTACAAACAAAAATAACATGCAGACAGCATAAAGAAGAAATATCGCATTTCAGACTTACCCTGACACAACCACAGCCAGCAGCATGGTGAGTATGGCGACTGCTGTCCTCCACATGGTAGCAGCCATGTTAACGTTCACTCTCGGGCGAAAATCCCGATATTCTGGACGTAAAACATAGTTTACATTTTTCAAACGTTTTTACAAACGTGCAGTCATCCTATTACCCATACACTGCATGTTTAACAACACTTGGAAGCGTAAACATGCAATAGTAGGAGTACAGACCATTGCTTACGACCACAAACGTAAACAACCAGCCTCACAGACGCTATACGTTTATAGACACCTGCGCCTTGGGGCTATCTTTCGTTTGACCTCTCTTCTTGAACTGTATTTTCCCATGAGGAAACGGCGGGGAGGTATGTCTGCGTTGTTGGCATTTCCGCCAAGAAAAGCGTTGGCCTACTTAGAATACCCTAGTCTTGGTATGTCTTTTTTACAATGGAAAAGCAAACCAAATCTATTCAGGTCAGTGGTTAAGAAGATTTGCGCCATTTCTTTTACACATAACGATTTGAATGGCCGTGTTTTGCCCCCACACATTTTGTAGAATGCTGTTTGTAATCGTCAAAATTATCAATCGTTGTGGAACCTGTCACCAAGAAAAGTCGCTAGTCTTTTGGAGTCTTTGCAAGGCGCCTTGGTCTATGTCACACAAAGCATCGACTATCTCTATATTTTCCCTGCTCAAAGATTGCATGGGATACAATTTCTGTCCATGATGTTTCAGGAATAAACTGAAATAACAAAGAAATGTTGTACAAAACCGAATGTTTTTATAAACGACGCCTTTTTTTTCATACTGAAAACAAATATGAGACAACATATTACAAGCCGTACCTGGCTTAAAGATACTGCGTCACACGTTTTGAAAATGGCACCCGAGGGTTAACCTGACTAAATTAAAACGTGCGTACGGTGTACCTTGATAATTTGCACCCGCATACGCACTACAACAGCCAAAATATGCCAAAAGAGCATAACGAACTAAATCTGAAATGTCCTGCAATATTTTCTGACTTACCTGGACTTAGGGAAGTACAGCAACTAACTCGCAACACACAAACAAATTCGACACTGAGCCTATTGTGATCAGATATTAATTATCATAAAATGAGGAAGTGAAAGTGATCCTCTCATTGGCCAACCATTGTCTCGCCACAAAAGCTATTGTTCACCTATAGCGACTAGACGTGGGGGACTTCCCTGACGTTCGACTAAAGGAATCTTGCTAGTGCTGTATCGTGTGAAACATACGGAAAGTCCCATGTGTGTAAAATTAGTGCATAGCGTGACACGTACAGACTTGTCCATATAATGCCTTTTAGACCACGCGGAAAATGTGTGTATATGGTGACACCTTACGTTGGAAATCTTTTATATTAGCCTCCACAGGATGCCAAAAACTGGGGGGGGGGGGGGTCTTCAGGAGCTTTTATGTGCTATTTTCTGATTGCATAATAGACATCATCATCGGCCTGGTTGAATTACTCCCGTTTTTAGAACTGGGCTAATCAGAAAACAGCCGAAGACCACCAAGCCCCCAGTTCTATAAGCCTGCTACAGAGGCTACTTTTATATCGTGAAGACATTAAGTTACTGTAGCGTGTAAGTAGCAAACGTAGAGTCTCTATTGAGATTTAACCTTGCAACACTGGACCGGCAGGTCTGCAAACGCCCGAGAAACCCAACACGTTTTACCAAGGACATTTGTACATGTAACAGTCTTAACACATCTTTCTCAAGACGCAGCAAGGAGCTTTAAAGTTTAATCAAACCTCCTTGGACACAGTCACCAATTTTTCTTGGAAAAGAAGCATGTCTACTTAATGCTACAGCTAGTTTTCTTCATGTCAGTTCTTGTTTATGCTCTATGTACACTTAGTCTGTAAAAATATCTAGCCCTATACTTCAAGAGAATACAGTAGTTTATAAAGCAGAAAGGCAGACGCCCTACCTTCAAATTCAGCCACCAAGTATCCACATCTCAAATGGTGTGACTGAGACCTGTTAGTAGCACATATAAGGCTTTTTCAGGCAAAACTATATGACTATGTAGATTGTTTTTACGTCCAACACAGCTAACTGTCGTCATGCCATCCGCCATTGCAGCACTGTGGACTCAGATCTTTGTTTTTGTTTACGTCAGAGGGTTTTTGTCTTCTTGTACATTCCGTATCGTATGTTCGTATAGAATATCACAGGAACGTACCAAGAACGGCTGTGGGGAGGGGTGTTTGCCTTTCGTAGTTGATACTTTTATACAGATATCTTTAAATTGTTGTGTTTTAACTATTTTGTGCAAACTATTCAATCTTTAGGTCGACTTAAATGTGTAATTCTTTTCCTATATTATCTGTTTCCCTACACCAATTATTTCTGATTTGACATTTTCCCAAGGACCCAAGAAGTATAGGCACTCAAGATATTGGCTGGGTAAAAGACATTACTTTGTTTGATGCCTGCAACGGGCCTAGACAATCTTCAGAGACATCTGATGGATTTGCACATCAAAGTTGTACTTTGTATTGGTAGGGACAGATTCCTTTTCCGTACATAACATTTGATACGCAACACAAACTTTGAAGCAAATGTCATTTATGTCAAGAACCATGTTGTGATCATACTAAGGATTTATTACTATATAAGCAAATTATCATTGTTATAATGATATCAAGAATTGCTGATACGTGTAATTTTTCATTGCCTTAGTACAATATTATGATGTGAAATATCAGTGTCCTTGGTTGGATATAGATATCAATAAAGATATAATTTTTTGTACGCAGAAGGGCCGCTAACTGTTAAACCAATCACATTTCAGTATTTAAATAGTCTGTTCAAAAATGATTTTCATAGCTGAGCAGTCATCCATGATTCAGACAAATAATTAGTCTGTCTGAAATCGTCACGTTTCTCATTATTGTTTCCTTTCCAAGGACAGAGAGGTTGTTCCCTCTACTGCTGCTCCTCCCCCTGTGGCTGTTCCAGCTGCTTCTGTACCCCCACTGGAATCTGCACCTCATTCAGGTTGTCCACATCTTCAGGTTCATCAGAGATCAAAACCTGAAATAGGATCAATAATAAAATAAATTAGAATAATAAACAGTTTCAAACTGCCTTTCCTAAGAATGCAATGTCTTGCCATGCAGGAATAGTGCTGTGTACCTAAACCCACATTCAGGTCCAGGTTCAAGTCCAGGTCCAGATTCAAGTCCAGAGATTAAGGTTCAGGGCAGATACAAAATACGAAAGGGACTTTTCAGTTAACATTTTCCAATGAAATATGGGGCATCTTTTTGTACCGAGCACTGTACTACAAGGGTTTAGAAGCAAGATATGTTGTTTACATGGCACATCTGGGCAAAACTGTGGTCACATAATTTAAGGAGATGGACACTTGACAATGCCCAATGGCACTGTTTTCTTGATTTTGCAGTGCCAACTTTTGAAGATTTCAGGTAGTCTAGAAAAAAAAGGAGAATGTGACATTATTTTTTTGTAAGTCCATAACTGGTTCCAGACGTTCAGGGTTTTTTGGACTTGAACCTAAAGTAAAACATTTTTACAAGTCCGGAACTAGTTCCAGCGAACTGGTACACAGCACTAGCCAGGAATAACAGGAATCAAACCCTTGATCCCTCAATCCCTTGTCTGCCAGCCTAACAATTCTGGCCTCTATCAATCAAATGGTGTTTTATTCATAAAAAACGTGGACTTTGCAGCCAAAGGCTGAATTACGTCCAGTTGTACATGCAAATTCATTACACATTTATTTACATTTATTTACACAGGCATCAGCACAAATATCCACATCATTATTGACGTCTTTGACATACTGTCTAAGACAAACAGTGACTGTTCAATAGATGGATCATATATGGGACGCTACTCTGTTTGTACCACTCAGTTCTACATTTGGTAAGAGTCAGTTTGTTACTGGAACGAGTGGTGCGCTCAGTGGTGGTGCCCCTCCTGGGCGGCAGCAAGTGTTGGAACATCAGAAGGAGGGAAGAAAAGAAGCAGAAAGTAGATGACTGTCTCACGTGTATAACATTCTGTGCTGCCTCCTTGAGTGCAGGTTGTGTCTCCCAATTGTCCAGTTCCCGGAGGATATAGTACACATGTTTGTCACGCAGCGTCTTTCTGCCATGTTTAGTAGCACACAGCTGTAGAGCAAGAAGAGATTAAGTATGTAAGACTTAAATCACATGATAGTCTCAACATGACACAACCATGTCAGGCAGTGAGTTCCACTCAGATATTGTCCAGGGAAGAAACAATTACTAACTAGAAAGGTAACATTTGCAATGCAAATGCATAGTGTTTACCTTCGAACATGGTCTGCTCTGTTAATTCTAACTCAAACACATTTCATATATATGGTCAGACAGGAGTCTAAATCCATCCTACCATATAAGATTGCAACATTATGAAACCAACACCAGTTACCATGGTGACAGTCGTCAACAAATCAGGTCATTGGCCAGGTCAGAAGTTAGTGTTTGGACTTGGAGTAGAAAAGGAAGAGGAAACTGAGCAAAAACAATACATTTTCCTTCAGTAAACATAAACATGTGTCAGTGCATCTGTCAATGAGTTGGAATTGCACCTCTATTGGCTGATTTTACTATACTGTCTGTTTGGTTTGGTTGTGGACAAGTAGGTTGAATTTATAGTATCTGAACTAAAAGTATGATAGGTAGATGTAGTGAGGTGTTTGTTCCTCCTCCTTTCAGAGAGAAGAGGCCACAGCTAGTCATTGAACATAATTCTGAATCCAAATAATGTCAAAGTCACCTGTAGTAAAGTCTCCAGTAACATCTGCCTGATGTTTGGCTCTTCCTCCCTCTGCTTGTCCTCCCCGAGGTACTGCAGTTCATCAGGAAGCTTCTCCATCTCATCCTCTGCAAATTCCTCGGGACCTGCTAGGGGGAGCATCAGGAAGGGCAGGATGTCCACGTCATCACTCAGCAGCCACTCATGATGCACTGAGAAATGAAGGGAAAACAGAAGTTTAAGTTCCAGTGTCCGAAGTACTCACCAGCAGTAGATGCATTTTCAATATTGCAGATTGAAGAAAAATTAAGCATCCTGCAATTTTGCAGGCTGAAAAGAGCCTTGTGTTTACTACTGACTCTATAATATACTACCAGTAGTAATTTTTCATGTGTTTTAAAGTTACATGTAAATCTTGCATATTGCAGAACAAAATTTGGAATTCTGCCAAGGTCCATCCATGAATGCTTTACCTGCTACATTGCTCCTAGCTGAGAATGAACAGAGCATTTACAGAGGGAATCCAGGCTAAATGATTCAGTGCATGATTCAGTGCATTGCCAGAACATACTGTGCCTCTGCAAAACCCAGATTTTTGAAGGTTTTTGTTGGATGTTCAATCAACATATGTTGAAGATAGCATATTTTCTGACACAAAATTTGAAAACTATAGATGGAATGCCAAAAAACAGTTACTCAAGCAACTGGATATGATTTTGAAAACGTCAGACGTTTCAGCTAGTATCCACTAGCTTTCGTCAGTGACTGAGAGACCAGAGGGGAAAGCAGGTTTATAAGTACAACCTGTTGATTGATATGCAAATAAAGTGAAGACAAATTTTTTGGAAGTCGAAAAAGGAACAAAAGTCAGACAAGTCAAGACAAAATGATGCAAATTAGTCTGAAAGCTCCTGTTATCCATTAAGGAATGTCATCCTTAAATATGCAAATATAACAAAGACTTCGGCTCTGCACAACACAATATGAGTTTTGTGCAGGCACAATATGTTCTGCTTAAGTGCTACGCCATACCTGTCTCAAACACACCATACCTGTCTCAAAAACACACCATACCTGTCTCAAAAACACACCATACCTGTCTCAAAAACACACCATACCTGTCTCAAAAACACACCATACCTGTCTCAAAAACACACCATACCTGTCTCAAACACACCATACCTGTCTCAAAAACACACCATACCTGTCTCAAAAACACACCATACCTGTCTCAAAAACACACCATACCTGTCTCAAACACACCATACCTGTCGCAAACACACCATACCTGTCGCAAACACACCATACCTGTCGCAAACACACCATACCTGTCTCGAAGCAGCAGTTCTTCAGAGCTCCCACAATACCCCCTCTCCTGATGACTGAACCCTGGTACTGTGTGAAGGGCAGGAGTCTCTGGATCACACATCGGTCATGGTCCAGGACAAACTGTCGGGCCTCACTCAGCTGAGAAATAAATCAAACACATAACGTTAATAAGGCAAATTTATGTAAAAGAGATTACAGCATAAGGTTGGTAATAGTAACTGGTTAAGTGCATAATACCTGGAAACAGTAATACCACCCTACATTAACACAATATTGTCAACTGTTTGGCAACAAAAAAACAACAATATCAATACAAAACATTTGTACTGCTGTGAATTCATCTAGCTTCACATATTATTTAAAATATTGTGGCATAAAAATTTTCATGTTAAAGCAACCATAGTAACAGTTACTAACACAAAAGACAGAGAATATGTTGACAGGGAGAGGTCACCACAAAAACCTAAAAAAAATTTAAAAAACACAGTTGAAAGTTAAAAATTTATATTACTAAACATTTACTTTCAGCATGGAGTGTCAAATAGAACTTTGAAGCTCCTTGCTTTTAATATATTTAAGTTTTAGCGTGCTTACCTGTGTAAGGTTAGACAACATGGGTCCGATGTAGTGCAGTTGTTTCTCCTTCTTGTTGTAGCCTTCCTGACAGAAAACCTCCACGACTTTAGCCAATCCCACGTCTCCCTTCACCAGACTGTCCAACACTCTTTCTGCTCCTGATTCCTCTCTTGTAACGTTAGACAGAATCATACATGCGCTGTCTGAAAACTCGCTTTCTGGGTCAACCACTGTTTGAACAAACTTTGGAACAGGATCGTAATCTTCCAACAATACTTTACAAAACCTTCCGTCACCGGTAAGATTGATAAGACACAGGTAAGAGTCTTTTGCAATGCTTTCTTGAGTGTCTTCTGTTAAGGATAGGATCTTTTCGATGAAGACTTTGTTCTTGAGGAAGAATTCGGCACTGTTTTTGGATGCGGTGACGCCCAAGAGGTACTGTACTGCTGTGGCTCGGACATCGGGGCGTGAAGACGGTGAAAGGAATGGCAACAGCTCTTCCAATTGCTGCTGGTCTCCCATGGTTTCCTATAGATCTGTGGAAGTAAAACAGCACTATTAGATTTGACATGAAAATTACTGTATTCATGTATATCAGCCTACTATAGTACCTAAATTATTGGAGAAACCATTAACGTAGATTCTTTGCTTTTTCAGAATTTCTTTTTGTTGATTTTTCTCCTTTAACTGTTTCTATCCTCTGCATAAAATCAAAACTGCGATCACGAAAACCTGCCTGGATTCGATAAATTCTTTAATTACATGTATGTTCTATTAACGTTATTTACAGCATTAGATCACTAATACCATTAACGTTATATGTAACAAGCCTTCAATGCACAAATTAAGGCTGACGATATGAAAGTCATGAATAGAGTGTTGTCGGCCTGTCCTGTTTTTAATCCTTATTTTGCTGTCTTAGTTCTGAAATAATCCAGTTCTGATGCAAACTAAGAAAGGTGCACATGGAGTATTTTGCCCCCCTCCCCCTTCCACCAAATAAACGTTACGTCTTGAAGCCGGAACGAAGTGAAACTAAGTAAAAGATACTAAGAAAAGAAGTCCTGATCTTCTTGAGCTACATACAGCACTAAATTCCTCTGACATACCTTGATTTATCTTAATTTACTTAAAATATTCTCGATTGCAGCAGAATCGACGACTTGGCAGCGTGCGCTCACTTCCGGGTGACCTTTGTACGGTAAAAGTGCACCTGATTACCCAAATATTTCGTGGTGTTCCGATTATAGGATAGAAATGAACCTGATTACCCAAATAGGTCGCGATGTTCCGATTATAGGATAGAAATGAACCTGATTACCCGAATAGTGCGTTGAATTCGGTGGCACGATAGAGTACACATAGCTGTAACTGGTTAAACTTTATATGAATATCTGAATAAATTTGTATAGTCGGAAAAAACGTTGCAAACACACTATGGTTCTCGTGGGGGTTGGATAGAACGTAAGAATTATAAGTACGTTAACTGGTTTTGATGTGACATGTTTAAGTCGCCTAGCCTGAGTGTCAACCTTTTTAGCATTTTCGTCCGCGCGCTACCGGACATTAGCTTTTGTCCACGCGCTACCGGACGTTAGCTTTTGTTCGCGCGCTACCGGACGAAAGCTAAAAATGCTGACACTCAGGCTAAAATGCGCTCCACCTTCTAGAAAACATGGTAAGTTGTCAATGTGCTTTTAAAAGTGTGGATGTGCGAATATAGCTCTCCTTAACATAGTAACCTGGGTTCTATCCTATGTCGGCGCCGGCCAGAGCATACATGTACATGTACTCCGGAGCCCCGGAATTTTTCTACGGTGGCATCGGGCAGGCTACGTGTGTTTTGCAGTCTCTCTGACGTAGGTAACGTTAACGATACTATTGTAAGAAAATTAAACTTAATTGTCTCTAATTTGTGCTTTGAAGACGGTAACTACATGTTGGTCCCGCGATTGGACCCTAATTAAATCGTCAAAACTCAATTAAAACCTGTTTTAATTTGAGGAAATTAAACTGTTGTCCTTGAAGTTAGTAAAGTAGTAAGTCCTTGAAGTAATGCTTAAAGATTAGATTGTCCTGATGAGGTTTTTGGCTTGACTCAAATGTTCTGTTTTGTCAGGAGTAACGAGTTCTGATTGAATGAGCAAGAGTCAATGAACTGAAATGATCATTTGAGTCAAGTGTTGAGCACGGGACCCTACAGGTGAGGTAGGTGCTCCGATTGAGCGTGCAAAATTTTGAATTTTAAGTTTCACGAATCATACCATTTTTACGAATCATAACGTTTTTACGAATCATATAATGTTTTTTACGAATCGTGACTTCGAACATTTCCGTCTATTAGCCTCCTGTAGGCCCTCCGAAGGTAGGCTGGATGCCAGACCCACAGCAAGGTGTACACTGTGATATTACTTTGGGCCCTGTAGTGTGCTATGGGTCTGGCATCCAGGCTATTCCTAAGGGGTTATATTGACAGCAAAATTCGGTAAAAGTAGGGCCGGGGAGTGAGTCACAATAAGGGGAATATTTCCCTTGGAAATGGTGGTTCAATTTAACTCTCCTGGCAATTTATTCTTCCTCGGCCGGCGTTACCCCGATGGAGTTTATACGGTCTATAAGTTTTCAAACATTTCATTCTTACCACCTTTCATTTGACACAGAAAAGCAGTTCGAATTCGGATTTTTTCCTGCACAGTGCTGGCCATCATGACTGCCTGTCGGATTCTCTTGGTGGCATTTCTGTTCTGCCACGCAGCGTCAGTGACTACAGCTGTGCCCGCAGATATTTATGTAAGTAGTCATTATGATATACACTTGTCACTTGGTATACTAGTATATCAACACAATTCCAGGGTGTTATCACCGGAAGAGACCCTCCCTTCACTGACTACATTATTTTTTTTCGTGCGTGCTTCGTAGGAGCTTCCAATTTCTGGTCGTCTTCCTTCATTCGCATAGTTTTTTTTCTGAAATTTCTGTGAAAACAGTGAAAATATTCAAGTTTGTTTTCTTTTTCACACCCTACCATGACAGTACTGGTCTGTTATTGAACTGCTTCAAAGCTCAGCGGCCACCATTTAGATACTTGAAAAAGATGCGGTTCCATAGAAACCAGCAAGTAAACAAACACTTGTAAGATTAATCTTGTGGTGTAGAGTAATTCTATTACGGTAACCATGGCTTTCATTTCTTAAGTTACATGATGTCAATGGCCTGCCACTGACGTGTCAATGACCTGCATTTGGGGTTGTTGAACTTAATATCGTTAATTTGCGCTTTGTGCGATCGGGAATCACACATAATCACCTCGCTCTATACCATACATGTACAGGCCGTTGTGTGTTTGTGCGTGCGTGTGTAGTGTGTGTGTGTAGTGTGTGTGTGTGTGTGTGTGTATGTCTGTCTGTCTGTGTGTGCGTGCGTTTGTGTGTGTGGTACGTGCGTGTGTGTGTGCGTGTGCGCGCGTTTGTGTGCGTGTGTGCCCGTTCCAAGTACACGCGAGTTTTGTGTGTCCGCCTGTGTGTGCGTGTGTGTGTGCGCGCGCGCGTGTTTGAGTGAGTGACAGAGAATGTCTGTCTTTTCATCTTTCTCTCTTTCTCTCTCTCTCTCACACACACACACGAACGCACGCACGCACACACACATACACACACACACTGACACACACACACACACACACACACACACACACACACACACACACACACACTGTGCTTACGTGTGTATACGTACTGCGTCCTCAACAAAACATATCCTCTTCTACAACATTGCCAGAACAACTGGGAAGACTACCAGGCGACGCTGAAGAAAGAGGCTATCCACCTGAAGGCCAAATACGAGAAATGCGAAAAGGCATTGATGGAAGCAACCAATAAGATCGCAGGAATGGGAACCTATGAGGTTCAACTCGCCTGGACATCTGAGGAAGAAACCGAACAGACCAGAGAACCCAGTGAGTTCTAACTTATTTGGTTTTGGTTCTCAAAAACCCTAAGCTTTGTAGAATAGCTGATGACCAACACGTAGGTATGTATTGCATTCGCTACATAGTGTTATATAAGTATATAGATGATTAGGACAGGTTTATGGATTGTAGAAGGCAATGAAGCAAATATGCAAATAGATGATAAACAGAGTTTTTTTTAGAGTTTTTTTTTACGATATTTGCTGCCGCACTCCTGTTTTAACTGTTTGAATGGTATTAGATTTATACTTTATTGGTGGCATCGTTGCAAAGTAATGCATAATGTTTACCTTCGCATATGGTCTGCTCTGTTAATTCTTACTCAAACAAATTCCAATATATGGTGACAGGAGTCTAAATCACTCCTACTATAAAATTGCAACATTATGTTACCCAACACCAGTTGTGAGAGACGGTCATTAACCAGGTCAGCGGTCACTGATTGGAGAAGGAGAAGAAACTGAGCAAAAACAATATGTTTTCCTTCGGTAAACATAACAAGTGCCGTCCATAATATCCCGTTTTTGTATTCTCCAGCCCCCCAATCCACCAGTCCAGGTGCCTGCGTTGACGATTATTTGGCGGAAAAACTCTTGGAGGCCATATCGAGTGTACAACGGAGTGTCAACGGGTTGAGGAGCCTATCTAACTTCCGCGGTATGGTGAACATTATTTTACATTGTATTGGCCTGTAAACCTGATTATTTGAGGCAACGGGAAATTTAAAACACATGCTCACCAATTATCCTCTTTTGTTGTTACATCTAAATGTAACCCTATATAGATGAAAGATACTAAGCTTTCTTTTTTGACGGATTTTGTTGCAGCCATGTACCTTTCTTGTACATGGCTTGTGTATTCTTGTGTTTCTAAAAATTCTACACCAAGTAACGAGAAACACAAAAGATTATAGATATGACTGTGTTACAACTTCCACAGCAGTTAACCTGGCCCATGACAAATACGCCAAGCAGGTCAATACAAAGTACGAGGCTAAGGCCAAACGCTCGGTGGACGGCGACTCGAACACCAATTTTTTCTCCGGATCCTGTTCGTACACCCATCCCACGGACGACGCCTGGTGGTATGTGGACTTAGAGGAACCGTACGCCGTCGGAGAGGTGAAGGTCTACAACAACGATCGTTGGCCGGAACGAATCAACCCTTTCAACATCATTATCGGTAACAGCAGGTGGGTTTTTGAAGATATGTCTGATAGGGTGTGTGTGTGTGTGTGTGTGTGTGTGTGTGTGTGTGTGTGTGTATGTGTATGTTTGTGTGTGTGTTTGTGTGCGTGCGTTCGTGTGTGTGTGTGTGTGCGTGTCTATATATATATTTTATGTGTGTGTGTGTACGTACGTGTGTTTATGCTTGAGCATGTGTGTTTGTATCTCTCTCTCTCTCCGTGTACATGTGTATGTATGTGTGTGTGTGTGTGTGTGTGTGTCTATATATTTTATGTGTGTGTGTACGTGTGTATTTTTGTGCCAGTGTTTATGTTTGAGCCGCTTGAGCGTGTGTTTGTATCTCTCTCTCTCTCTGTGTATTTTGTGTGTGTGTGTGTGTGTGTGTGTGTACGTGTCTATTTTTGTATGTGTTTATGTTTGAGCGTGTGTTTGTCTCTCTCTCCCTCTCTCTTTCTCTCTCTCTCTCTCTATCTCTCTGTGTGTGTGTGTGTGTACACAACGATATTACAACCTTTTCACGGTGCTATACGTGAAAAGTTAATGCAACTCGTGATCCGAATCATTGCAGTGACGTAGACCAGATGTCCCAGTGCGGCGGGACTTACGGCGCCGACTACGAGGACACGCTGCTGTTCCAGGTGGACTGTGGCGGGATGTACGGCCGGTATGTGGGGGTCCGCCTGCCGGGATCAGAACGCTCACTCATGATGTGTGAGGTCAGGGTGTATGAATGTAAGAGACTACATGTTTTGTTTTGTTTTGTTTTGTTTTGTTTTGTTTTGTTTTGTTTCCGTCTCCAAGCAGAGGTTTTGGCTTTGGCTCATTTTTGGCGTGTTTTCGGCCTTTTTTATTGGGGTTTCTTTTTTTGTGTGTACTGGTATCTTTTTATCTGTTTTGGAGGGCTGGCACAAACCTCTGTCTGGAGACTATGGTAAATCGGCTTAAGACGTAACACACCAGTTTTGTACAAGCTGCACAAGCGTAATATTCTGCAATGTTCCTCAAACCTACTATTCTCGATTAGCTTTTATTTCTAAACGTGCTCGAGGTATAGCTTTATGTTCCATTCGAGAAAAATCATGTGTAATCACTAGTGCTTTTTTCCCTGTTTCAGATACTGGCCTGGACCCTGAATAGGTATGCATATTGCCAATCGACGTAATCCGAAAATGTTATATCGGATGGCCCGCTACCTTCAACGTTGATCATATGGAATACCATGCCCGTAGCCAGGATTTTGAAGGGGGGGAGGGGTTCTTCCCACTGCTTGAGAGGACCTCGAGCGAGTTTTCTAGGGGGGGGGGTCCGGGGCCATGCTCCCCCGGAAAATTTTGAAAAATGAACCTTCTAAAATGGCATTTCGTGCGTTTTTGCGAGGATTTCAAAGAAAAAATCAGAGATAAATTTTTATTCAATGACAAAGGGAGCAGTTTTTCTACAGTAACTATGATTCCAGTCTATCTTTTCAACAAAAATCTTGGAACTTTTCATAAAAAGTGGACTAAAAAGTGGACCTTTACATAAAAAGTGGACCAAAAAGTGGACCTTTGAGCCTTGTGGGGGGGTTCTTCCGAACCCCTGGCTACGGGCATGAATACTCTACATGTAGTTTAAGGCTGTGCCTGTAAAACGAAGACAGTGATTTTATGCTGCTCTCCTGGGCAGAGTTGTATTTTCACGAGCATATATGTGGTTGTTTGTTTGTAAACACTATTGGATAACTCTGTGAGTGATGGGTATTTTTCCATGATGTTGGACCATGGGTTGGCATTTGACCCTACGCTACTGAAAATACTATATTGATGCATATAGCCCGGGTGGATCCAAACAGGTTATTTGTAGATACCGTAAATTGTCCGGCGACCGGCAGGCTAGGCAATTATAGAAAAAAAAGTAAGATTGGATCGATTTTCATCAATATGTGTTGTTTGAAGTATAGATTTGTCGAAGAGGTGGCTTCTTGTTTTTCTTGTTTCGTTTTTGGGTGCTTTTCCTAAATAACAAATAACGTATACATCTTAGATGATATGAGAACTGTTAAATATGCTACGCATCCACCGGAGCACCGGTGATCGAATGTTTGTTCAGTTGTGTTTAGCTTCAAGTGTTTGAAATAAAGCGTGTTCAGCTACAGAGTAGTCCATGACTGTTTTTTGCTTATTTACGATATGCATATCATTCCGATAAGAATCTGCTGCGACTAGTGACTGTTCAATTCAATCTCCGATGCAATCCGGATCCCATGTAGAATAGTGGTCGTAAAAGGCACGTCAAGATCAACGTTACGGTGTGGGAATAAAGTTTTCTTGTAAGAACAATGAAAGCCCATTCAGTTTTGTCGGTACCGGTCATTCTTTATATGCGTGTTTCATAGCACGCCTTTCTAGTATGGTGCTTTTTTAACGACTCCTTTAACGAAGAGACTATTTCTATGTATGAAAGCTCCTCAGCAAACTAAGAAACCAAATTGATATTCTGATTTTAGCGTAATGCAGACGGGAATTTAGCGTTAATCGTTGTCATTACCCCCTTGCAGACCCTCGCACACGACCAATCAAATCCTTACAAATAATTTTCTGACCAATAGCATGTCAGGATCCTCTTCAAGGCGGCATAACACAGTTTTCGCCCTATGGGGATTTCTGTGACTCACTTCGACTCACTGAAAATCATAGTAGGATGCACAAGCAAGGTTCAGGATTTTGATATGTTTAATTTCAGGGTATGGTGTACAAAATATTTGAAAATGAGCTTAAGTTTGCCAGGTCGTTCTCTTCTCACGCCCTCTTTTTTTAGCGCCACTGCGGATATCATGGAACTGCAGCCGACGCACAGTACTAGGCGGTACAAGTATCCAAGTGCAAATCTACGCCGACTGAACACGCACCATAATTCAACCTTTACAGTCTCAAAACTGACTTATTTCTCTAACATTCGCCACAGGTTCCATCTCGATGCCATGGACAGAACAATGTCTGTACCTTTTCTCTAGTATTGTGCAGCACTTCTTCGTGCCCGGACTACTTTTTGCCCATAAATACTGTGTTGTGCGGCCTCAACGCAACTCCTGCAATACTAAAATGCACACTAGATGTCGCTGTGAGACCGCGCGGAAGTTCGAACTTCGAAGAATACGCGGAATAGAATGTGCGACTAACGTTACGCAGTTTCAACGCGCCAGGTGATGATCCAGGTGATATTTGCCAGTTGTAGTGAGGACACAGTTCAGCTAACCTCGGCAGAGTTACACAGCAGATATTCCCTACAGTTATGCGCGATTTGACCAAGGGAAAGGCGAAGGGCAAAGCCCGCAGCAGGAGTAGGAGCAGAGATCCGGCCGGGGCGGGCGCCCAGGACACCGCCAACGACAACATGTGCTGCTCGCCTAAGGTAATAGTTTTAAAGAATTCAATTGATTTTTGCAACGATTTTCCTTATCTCTCGAGGACCTTATGATTATGGGTGCTCATAGACCTTCTACATGTAGGTTTAGCCAAGGACTACATATAACGTCCTTGGCTCAGGAGCTCTGAGAAGTTAGTCACTCATTGTACCACAAGGACGTTAAGGTTATACATTTTGTATCTTGTTGAAGCTCCTTGGTTGTACAAGTACAATTGTACATCATCCATATGTTCTTGTTAAATCTGTGATCATGTACAAAGTTGGGGACTTGTAAGTGCTTTCATAACCGTGAACTGTATGAAAACAAACCATGTGCATCATATACTAGTATTAACTTTGTAGACTGTAGAAACAACAGAACATTACCCTTCCTTTGCAACCATGTGTCACAGTGGATCATTTCTTACCTGTTGAGAAATTGGTGCAGTTTATTTACTAAATGTTGTCTTGTTTTTGTTTACAGGGATGTCGTCATGAGAACAGCAAGGAAGTGACAGACATGGCGTCTGCGGTGAAAGTTATTTGCTCTATCAAGACGTGTAAGGAAGGTGTCTTCATGCACGAAGACTGCTTCTTTGCCTGGGAGGATGACATCATCAAGAGCCTTCAGGTAATTCAAGGTCGTCTAATGACTTGTGAATGTTTAAAGTTAAAACTTTGGAATCCCAAGCGAAAGTCAGGTATCCATTTTACACCGAGGAAAGTTGTGTTAAGTGCCCTTCCCAATGATACAAGGTTTTCTGACTGTTACTATGTTTTCATTTGCAGAAGGAAAACATATTGTTTTTTGCTCTGTTTCTTCTTCCTCTTCTTCTTCAAACAAATAAGGTCAATGACCTAAACCAGACATCTGTCATCATTGTAACTAGTATTGGGTTACATCATGTTGCAATTTTATAGCAAAAGGGATTTAGACTCCTGTCACCAAAAGTCCTTATAATTATATATATGAATGTGTTTGAGTAAGAATTAATAGAGCAGATCATATGCAAAGGTAAACATTATGCATTTGCTTTGTTACTTTATTATTTTTTTTTCTTACCCTCCGTACAGAGTCACTACCGGCAAAAGGGGCGGCTGCAGAGCTGTTCGGTGCAGCAGCTGCAGAGGGACCTGTGGACCAAGCGGGTTCACGACGTGACGTACAAGATCTGTGTGTGCAGGTGTGGAGGTTACCTGAAGAAGGATCTAGAGTGGGACGCTGAAAAGGATGCAGAGAAACCACGGTGAACAGTGACAACACTATATTATTAGTTTCAACGGGTTGGTGAAAAACAACGTCCAGTCCAATCAGCGGAAAACAAAGTCCAGTCCGATTTTGGGGTGGAAAAGGCAGTACTTTTTTTTTGTGCATGTAGTAGCGCCCCCTTGCAAATAACATGGCTCCCCGTTCTCCAAGAATAGTGTGTTCCTCATTTATCGGCCTCTATCTGTCTTAGTAGACAATGGGTTTGGCACAGGTAGGACACGTCATTTGATGGCGGAATGTGCCAATCCTTCCAGTAGGCAGGCTCTGCCATATGTTGTACAAGTGAATGTACTAAGTACCTCAAATCAACTGGACAAGAAATAGATCTATCCACCATCAATTTGCAGACAAAATTTTGAGATTGCAAAAGAAAAAAAAAAAAAAGAAAGAAGGCCTGGCAATTAAGCTTTGTATCATATTCATATACTGCATAAAACAGAAGTAAATTGGTTTGAGCCCAGGGAGTGGAACAAACCATATCTGAAATTTGATGGACTTTACCATTTCTAATTTTGTTTGTTTGTGGTGTGTGCTTATAATACAAGAGGAGTATCAATTTAAAAGTTAACTATTTGTTGTCTGACAGTATCTTAATCCTTATTGTGTAATACAATGTCCTTATTGTGTAATACAATGCCATTGTGCTTGTAGAAACAATGCTGATGAAACAACAGACAAAAAGAAGAAAAAGAAGAAAGGAGACAAGCCAGGTATCCTCGGGACCAAGAAGGCATGTCGCATGGCCATGGACATTCCCTCAAAGAGATCTAGGAAGGCTCTCAAGAAAAAGGGCTTTGCGGTAAGACATAGTCAATAACTCATAGAAACAAAAACTATAAAAGAGTATATGAGAAAATTGAAATAAGGGATATGGATAGTTGTGGAAGAAGAGTGATCATGACGTTGAATTTGCCAACAGTGGAAAATGTAGCAATGGGGGAAGAAGTCCAGTGGTTAGCGACCCTGCCACTGGGCAAAGACGTTGGGGGTTCGAATCCTGGCTGTTGTCGCTCATTCAATATGCATGCTACTCTGAAGAATGGTCACAGGACATTATGCTGTGGTCCACTATTCATTGTACCGCTGTTCAATTTCCCTGGTACAAATTGAACCTGTAAATACTACTAGTATACCTGCACCTGATTTCTTTGTCACGACCAGTGGGAGATTACCTCTTCAGTGAGCTAAAACTGGATTGAGATCAATTTCCTAAAAATTTCCTTTTTTTTTTCTTGCATCAGACACAGGAGCCAAAGGTTCGGGTCATCCCCAATCCTTCCCAGGGTGCAATAGGAGGTCATGAGTCCAGGGAACCACGTGCCAGGAGCATTTCTGTGGAAAGAGGTGAGAACCTTTTCTTACACTTTTCCATTTTCTTTCTTTACTAAAATTGACATTGAGTTATTGACATTGAAGGTTATTGAAAAGGACAGTAAAGAAGCGAAAATCTGATGAGAAACTAGAAAGTTAACATTTGCAAAGTAAATGCATAATGTTTACCTTCCCATGTGGTCTGCTCTAGATCTGTTTATTCTTACTCAAACACATTCATATGTATGGTTAGACAGGAGTATAAATCCCTCCTACTATAAAATTGCAACATTATGTAACCCAACACCTGTTACTATGGTGACAGACGTCAACAAACTATTTCATTGGTCAGGTCATAGATCACTGTTTGGAGAAGAAGAAGAGGAAGAAACTGAGCAAAAACAATATGTTTTCCTTCGGTAAACATAAATATCAGTTATTTATATTCACAGTTTTGCTGCAAAAATCTTACATAATATCGCTTTAACAGGTAAAAGCTTCAGACCTGAGAGGGGCCAATCAGAAACAACAGGTGTGGCAGATGCAGAGCTACGACATGGCAACAAGAAAGAATCACCTGACGACACGCCCTTCTCAGGTTTCCATGACGATAGCGACGACATTCCGATTTCCCTCGCACTCGACGCCACCTACTGGTGGGTCAACTTCGGGTGGCGAACGTACCTCGACTTCGCCTTGTACACGAACGAGCAGTTAACTGCGGACTCTCGCACCCAGAGTCTTGTGACGTGCAAGTCTGTGAATGATGTAGAGAGAGCGTTAGGGTGTCGCGATCTCAGAGATGTGTCGGAAAGGCTGGGAGAGTGGTGGCAGGAGGTGGGCTGGGATGAGTTCAAGAGTTTCATGGAGCATCAGTGAGAAAAAAAGGACATCTGCATTTTGTTTCATAACTATGTGTAAAAAGACTGTAAAAAAGTGTAATAATACAGGGAAAAACTGAGCAACACAGCTGCATTTGTTTTAGACAGTTAATTAGTGTCATTTATGTGTCAAAATGATATAAAAAGAAACACTTGAATAAGGGCGTTAAATATCTACCAGATTCTTTGGACGTGTGGCTGCTATCATACATTTATTTATATATAAACGTTAGCTGAAGTATAATTACATATCATATTTGGGCTAAGACTTTTTTCAAAAGTCCATTACATAAAAAGCTATTATATCATTTTGTGTTACATGTATTATATCAATTGATAGATAAAAGGCCCAAATGTTTTCCCATGTAAATGACAGACTTCTTTGCTGCACTTTGTTAATTTCATTGTATATTTGTTGTGAAAGAAATTAAGCAGAAGAAAAAATAGTTTTGTGTAATAGTTTGTGAAAATTGGTGTGCAGTGCTTTTTGTTGCAACATAATTTATTTATATACATATCATACCATAAGGCACAAAATCTGTAAAAAAAAAGAAATAAATTATGCATCATAACATGTTAGATGTCAAGCTTATTTTTCTGATGTTGAATGAATTTTTCATAGCAATATGTCTTAAGTTAAACTTTATGTGACTTTGAATTATTGGCGTCTTTTGAGATTCAAACTTTAGGCCACACATTTAATTTGTTGGTTCTCGGATTCGCCTCTTCATTTTTTTCTGATTTGCAAAAAAAAAAAGATTCTGGCTCTGAATCAACTCAACTACCCCCAACTGTTTTTATTTTCGCATTTGGGGCTATAATAGGATGCCTAGACCTGTTTTTTTTCGCCCTGTCACTTCATATTTTTTTCTGAAAAAATCCGAGAACCAACAAATTAAATTGGTGTCAAATACGCGTTCGCGGCTCCGCCCCAGAGGTGGCGCCAAAAACCAAAGTCCAGCTGATGACGTCATCACCAAGATGGCGGTCCCGGTACGAGTTTTGCGGCAGAAAAACTTCATTTTCCAGTTTGCAGCGGCGCTGAGCTTCGCACCACGCGTTGTACTCGCTAACCAGGTAGGTTTGTGATTTCAAAAGAGAGTAGAGCTCTGTACAGAGCATGACACTCGCTAGTTTTCAATCTGAAGGCGTACTATCGATGGTGAGGAAGGGGGAGGGGGGCGTGGCATTAACTTTATTCCTCAAACCACCAGGATCAAAATTCAATCTCTTCTAGAGTGTCATGTCCATTACAAACTGATTGTAATGTCACATAGTGATCATTTATTGTTTCAAACTTATAATGAGTTCAAATCCAGTCTTGATATTAAAAACAATGAATGTAACTCTAGCTATCTAGCAAGATAAACTAAATTACTAAATTTTAATAACTAAATTTTATCTTGATAGATGTGAACTCTAGGTACTGGGTTTCACGAGATTTCGACTTCACGTGCAGCTTGCGTATTAGTCATGTATTGTACCAGAATGGGACTACCCTTTCTGGTAAGGCCATGTTGATTTGATTACTAGTATATGGATGACATCCTCTGGGAACCTCAAAACTGTTGCAAGCGTATGTGCGAATAAAAAAAGTTTGGCAAAAAAAGGTGCCCTTTATTATGAAATCTACCCTGTCATGAAGGTTGAACAATCAAATGACTACTAAACATGTAATGGAGTAGGGTATGGCAAATAATAGAATCTTTATTTTCAATTTCTTCACACTTTCTTCTTTTCCTTTGGAATTGATTTTGCCATTCTAAGACATTAGTATAATCCTTTTTTTTTTGCAATCTTCAGCATATATATTTGCAGTTACTTTGTATGGTTTACCGTATGGTCAAAAACTTCTTTTTTTTTGAAGCGGACGATTTTTCATGCACACGCAGATGTCATCCATATTATCAAATCAACATGGCCTAAGTTTTGTAATTGTGCAAGGTAACACTCAAAACTATGTTATACACGTTGTGCCTTCAGGTCTGTACGTCAGGAACACATGACTGTGATGAGGTGAGTAAAGCTCAGGCAGCTGCCGAGGCAAGACAGAAGTACGGGAACCCGGAGCCAACCATCTTCAGCAAGATTCTGGACGGGTCCATTCCAGCAGACATCATACATGAAGATGACAAGGTGAAAACAATAATTAAGTACTTTTATAATACAGTATTGTACTGTATTGTACATTTAATAACTTAGCAATTTTAATGTGTTATGCTAAATATGTCAAGAAATCAAATTGTACAGCAAGACACAATTTAGTCAACGGCTACAAGTTCTTGCTTTTTTTCACAAATAAACCATTTGATTGATTGAATGTACATTCATTATTGTATATAAACATTCATTACATGTATGTGGGGTGTGAATTTGCAATTAAGCTTATTGTCATTGTCATTAGAACAAAGAAAGAGATATGCCGTCATCTCATGTCTTCCAGTAATGACCACACAATAGAAAAACTGTGAATTTATCTCCAGTTGCTTTAAAAAGAGAGAAGAAATCTTCAAGACCTAGATTAGATAGAATGTTTTCTCTAGTAGTTCCTAAGACTTTTACATTATTCTTGTATCCTTGGCTTGTGTCCTATGTATAATGATATGCATACAATGGTATAATGGTATCATACACATGTAACATCACACTCTGATGTATGCATTTAGCCCCATGGGCATGAACATGCAATAAAGATTCATTCATTACTACATGTACCCCTGGTGAAGGTTCTGTTTTCGGTAATGTTTGTGTGTTCGCAGCTGTAGCTCATGATTGGTCTGAAGGATTTCTTTGACTTTTTTTCCTTGACATATTTCCTTCCCAGTGCATAGCCTTCCGGGATGTGAGCCCACAGGCACCAAAACACTTCCTGGTCATCCCCAGGACTCCCATCCCACAACTTAGCATGGCACAGGACGACGACTCACAGGTTTGGAACTAAACTGTTGAAGTCTCCCTGTATTATTGTTTTGCTCTGTTTCTTCTTCCTGTTCTTCTCCAAACAAGTGAGGTCAATGACCTGAACTAGACATCTGTCACCATGGTAACTAGTACATCATGTTGCAATTTTATAGCAGGAGAGATTTAGACTCCTGTCTGACCATATATATGATTGTGTTTGAGGAAGCATTAACAGAGCAGACCATATGCAAAGGTAAACAATATGCATCTGCTTTGCAAATGTTACCTTTCTAGTTTGTTTGTTTGTTTGTTTGAAACTTTGTTCATTCATAAAATACACAAATCAGCTTACTGGTCACTAGCTAATCATTGAGGTCATGAGGGAAGAGTTTAGAGTCAGACAAAATATAACATTAACAAGGTACAGGGTACATGATTCTGATATAGTCTCTGCATGTCTAAGAAGGTAGATATGCGTAATTCTCGCTCGTGTACTATCCAGAACCATGCCTGAGCATGGTTCTGGATACAATTCCTCAGTGTATATGTATTGCTGTTACAAAGACTCCAACAAGCACCATGCAGTGAGGCCACCTTGTGCCTAGGTATGGTACTGCATGATGATATTCCTGTACTTCCAGCTTCTTGGCCACCTGCTAAATGTGGCAAGAAAGACAGCTGCGAAGGAAGGGCTGGACAATGGGTACAGAGTAGGTAAGTTAAAACATATCTTAGTACATATTTCATATTTCATAACAGTAAAATGTAATGTAAAAAATTGTTTGCGTTTGTCCAACTTAAAATGTACTTGCAACATGTTTAGATGATAATTTCTTTCCTAGGTGGCTAAAGTTTTAAACATCTTTTTCTCCCCTCAGTTATCAATGATGGCAAAGATGGCTCCCAGTCAGTCTACCACCTCCACATCCACGTACTGGGGGGCAGGCAGATGGGCTGGCCTCCAGGATAGACTTCTACTGTTCCCGTGGCAACTGGGAGGGTTCTTATTGTTCCCATGGCAACTGGGAAGGATTCTACTGTGCCCATGGCAACTGGGAAGGATTCTACTGTGCCCATGGCAACTGGGGGATTCTACTGTTCCCATGGCAACTGGGAGGGATTCTACTGTTCCCATGGCAACTTGGAGGGATTCTACTGTTCCCATGGCAACTGGGAGGCTTCTACTGTGCCCATGGCAACTGGGAAGGATTCTACTGTGCCCATGGCAACTGGGGGATTCTACTGTTCCCATGGCAACTGGGAGGGATTCTACTGTTCCCATGGCAACTTGGAGGGATTCTACTGTTCCCATGGCAACTGGGAGGCTTCTACTGTTCCCATGGCAACTGGGAGGGATTCTACTGTTCCCATGACAACTAGGAGGCTTTTACTGTTCCCATGGCAACTGGGAGGGATTCTACTGTTCCCATGGCAACTGGGAGGGATTCTACTGTTCCCTTGGCAACTGGAAGGGATTCTACTGTTCCCATGACAACTAGGAGGCTTTTACTGTTCCCATGGCAACTGGGCGGGGTTCTACTATTCCCTTGGCAACTGGGAAGCTTCTACTGCTCTCATGGTAACTACCAATGAAGGTCAACACTTCAAAGCTAAAAGAAACTTGCTGAAAAAAATTATAAGGTGTATAGCACCAATGACAAGTAAGATTAGTTGCAATGCACAGAAAAGGGATAATATGGTATCATATCTTTAAAAGAGAATCATCTCAGAGGTGACTACCGGTATGTTAGATTATCCACGACTGCTGTCATCATGCATCATGTTTACTTGTTTACCAGTAAAATATTTGCCGTTTGTATTAGTGAGGACTTGTTTATATGTTTCTGCACACCTGAAAAGCTCACCTGTGTTTGGACAGGTCTGTATTTAGACAGGATGTTTTGGGATTTGCTCTTCATTTCCCAACCAGAATGTGGAGGACCAGGCTAAACTATAATGTCACACTTTTAACCTTCTACCCACTGCTTAACTCCATAACAATAGAAATTTGAAGCCAAATGGCTACCTTAGCAGGCTGAAGGTTAATGCTGCTATGCTTTTGGATATTGCAATGAAAATTACTAAAGAAAGGTTGCTATCTATGCTAGCTACATCTTCTAGAAGATTCAGTTAAAGATGTATAATACCGGCACCCCCAAATAGTTCTTCAAGGAGTATTTCTTGTATAGTATCCCATATCTTCCCAGGGTCTTCGGTAACAGAGACAGGAAGTTTGATCTATTCTTTTGCAGCCTGTATTGTGTGAACTGAGTTACCATGATAGTCTACAATAAAAGATTGATTAATTATTGTCCATGGGTGGGTCCAGAAAAAAACGTGTGCGGTCTGTGACAAAAGTGTTTGTGCCCTACCAACAGCATAGGCCTTAGATACTATGTATTCTGTCTTCTGTCAAACAGAATTTTCTATACAGCACCTGTATCAAGTGTCAGCAAAGATCTGACTCTGTCATCGGTAGATTTTCCGGCCACTGCCCAAGAATATGATGTACAAAACCGGTCCAAGTCGCTATCAAATAAATCTGCATTTCCCTTATCTAGTGCTGGCTTGACTGTGTGGGTTGCTTTCCTTGTGTTGATATTAGATTTCTTGACCTCTAACAGGTGAAGAATTTAGGTCACCTTGTTAAGGGGTGATGACTTACATTGTAAGGCTATTAAGGGGCTAAAAGAAAGAACTAAAACAGCAACTGTTAGGCCAGAATTTTATTAGAATCTTAGGAATACCTCATAGAAAGGCAAAGAACCTCCTTGCTGGTATCAAGGACATTATGAAGATGTCTTTGCTGGTGTCTATGTAGGCTGGTATCTGTTTAGCAAAGAGTATGAAAGGACTCAGCATCTATATTATAGGTTTGAATACCAGGCTAGTATGAATGAAGACTTTGCATACTGGCCAAATACTGGTACAATGCACTACATGTATACTATTTCAAGAGTTGACTGCATTATTAAGTAATGGATGTATAACTACACTGTACCAAATTCTGCCATCAGACTCTAGTTAGCCTCTTTGTGTTTTTCTCAATAAAAATGACAACCAAAACTTGGACCTGGTTCTGCCTAAGTCTGATAAGTCCTGCTTCCGTTTCGCGTGAGACAGTTTACAAATTAGCGGCTGCAGAAATAGAACTGTTTGCATGTAAGACCGAGAGCAGGTTTAGGAAGTCTTTTTATGGCATCCCTGATGTAAAATAAACTTTCCAGTAAAAACTGAGCATTGACTGTTATAAATTTGTGACATACAAGCAATATTTTAAAGAATTTCCAAAAAAATATCAAAGAAATCAAGCAAAAAAATACAAAAACTAGTTTACGCTTAGCTACTTGCTCTAACAAAAGCATTGTTTTAGGCCCTTTTTGTAAATTTTAGGAGGTATGGCTTCACCAATGGTGGTCTAGGTGGTGTGTCAGCCATTGGAGAAACAACATCACCTAAAACCAGTACAAAAAGCTACAAAACAACACATCTGCTTGGTCAGATCAGGAGTATATGATGTTTATTGAAGACCTGAAGAGGCTCAGTGGAGCATGGAGACACTAAAACCTCAGGAAGCCGGCAATTTTCCATGTCATTTGTTTACAAGAAAAGGGCTGTTAGGACACAATAGCCTTCCTCTAATCCTATCAATTTATGCAAAGCTGTGAATGGTCCCCTGCTATTAGCCAACTGGCTGGCAATTGGGTGCTAATTAGTGCTAATTAACCAATTGACATGTAAGATAAACAGCAAGAAGCAATTGTTGATAAGAAAGGACAACAGGAGAAACAAGTTTATCTCAACAGTCAACAGTGGGCTGTGTACCAATTTTGGAAGGGAGGGGGGCTTTGTCATGGATACAACTTTGCAAAGGGGGAAGCATTTATGCTGCAAATCCACGGATCTACATTTTAGATCCAGGATTTATAGAAGAGCTTGTTAAATCCATACCATTACTTTGCTAATTTCAACAGTCAGACTTTTAGCTGTACATTTTTACCTAGATAAAATGACTTGCCATGGATGCAGGTCATTGAGGAATAAATTACCTTGGACTGATTTTTAAAAGGCAAAAGCACCAAATCTACAGTACAAGCAGAAGTTTGGCTTGTTTTTGGATCTTTTAGGTAGTTTTAAGCATTTTGTTGGGCTCTCTATTTTGCAGCTTTTAGTTGGGTATACAAGCCTAACCAAAGGAAAAGCTGACAACAAAATGCAAAAAAAATGTCCAAAACAAGCCAAAACTTCTGATTAGAGAGTACCAAAAGCTGAGTAGAATCCGTGGTCTGGTAAAAATTTTACCAGGTTGGTAAATGATTGAATATTAAAGTTCTTTTATTCACAAAGGTACCATTTGCTTTTACATGAGCCTTCATGATTGAGATAATTAAATCAAGAATCCTTGGTGTTGCGGGCTCAGTATACTGTCCAAGCAGAGGTTTGGGTTTTTTTTTATTGGGGTTTCTTTTTTGCACTGGAATATTTTTTACCCAACCCAACAAAAAAAAAATTCCAATGCAAAAAAGAAACCCAGATAAAAAAGCCTAAAAACACGCCAAAAATAACCCAAACCTCTGCTTGGAGAGCAGGCTCAGTAGTAGATGGCGGCTGTACAAAACTGTTTCCCCCAGAATTCCTCTTGGCCTGTTTCCCTTTTGCGACCCTTTCAACTTCCCGTAGAAGCCATACCTGCAGGGCCTCCATTGTGCCTGATTTAGGCACAACATAAAGAGTTGTTTACTGATGGAAATTCTTCCATGTGGGCACAGACACCAGCAATATAGTACTACAGAAACCACCCTGAGAAAGATAAACATTTTAGGGCAATGTCTGATTTGATGTTTTTTATAGTTCATTGCCTTTTTTGTTTTCAAATGGCATCAGTTTCATTGAGAGTTGGATCTGATTTGCAGTTGATTTGCAAATTAATTTTCATTTTTTTAATGATTTCATTGCGAATCAAGCAAAAGGTCAATGGAAAAACAAATCAGAAAAATTTTATAAAATGGCAAATCAGCAATATTTTAAGAGATTGGAATGGCAAACATCTTGCATTTGCTGAGAAATGATATTTCTTAATTTGGTTTTATCATGATATTATTTTAATGTAACTGCAAGCAACAAATAACAGTTGCATGGTGACGTATCACAAGAAACTGTTTTCAGGACGCCCAGACTCAGGGAACCCCTGCTTATCTGGACCAATCAGAAGGCGGCATTGCCTGTAAGATGACACCACCACTTTCTGAGAGTTCCCGGTCAGTTTAGGCCCATCCTGCAGCGTAGTGGCACGACAGACAACGGTGTTTCTCTCGGTTTTACCCCCAGAATACACGCTTTGTTTGTCATTTTAAGGACTCTGAACTGCGTGAGATCTACCTAAGTGTGGACAGGGCCCTGGGACGACGGTTGCGCGGCAGGCAGCGGAAGAATCGCCGAGGACAAGGTTGCAGAGCTCCGGTGGATTTTAGCCTGTTTTGTTCCCATGTTTTGGGCCGACCGCGATCTTCCCATTGATTGAAACATTCCAGTCTTACAGCCTTTCTTCTGGAGTTTGAGATTTCTTGAGGGATTTTTCGGGAGCCAGAATATTTTTGCGGTGGCAATCTAGAGGAAATCGGAGGATATTTGCAGCAGAGTGAGCTCAGGAAGGTTCGCGTGCAGAACGAGCAACTGGCAGACGAGAAAGGATTTCTTCAATTTCCTTTACTGTTGAGATAGTGTCACGCCGTCTGCACTCTTAAGGCTTTCCTTATACCCTCCGGAATTTCAGCTGGAATTCTCTCCAAAACCTGGACATGGGACACTGGAATACCACCAACATTCCCAACAGTTAAAAATGCCACTTTAAGGTTTTTTTTACCACTTTTGAGACGTCGCGATTTCAGTACTTTAGAAACAATGTTGCGGAAAAGTTGCTTCTTGTGGACTTCTTGTTCGGATTTTTTACGGACTTTTGCAGTTTTGTGTTTCTTATTGACACTTGTGCTGTGCCAGAAGAACACCAACAACAGCGTACTAGGTGAGTTATCATGTTCCTCATTGCTCTGAAGGAGTGTTTTTACAGAAGATATAATGTTTCAGTCGCAAACCACCGACTTTGTTTATTTTACCCACTTAAGTTTACATTGGGGGCGGTCCGTTTGATGTTTTGGAGAGGGGGTAAAGTGTCCCCAATAGCCCCCCCTCCTTAAGTTTAGAAACTGTGAAAATCATTGAAAATTAGTAGTTACATACTTATAAGTAAATTTTAGCTAAATTTTTAAGTGCTTAGTACAATAGGCTTTACAGAGTAACTGTAATATCAAATACAGATAGAGCAATTTTAACCATATTTGAAATTTTAACATCAAAGTAAACCCAGGGGAATAAAAATAACTCCATTTCCTATGGCACCGTAATAGGAAACCAACAAGGCAATTAAGAAAAGCTGTCCCCATAAATTTGACCTGTCCTTTGGGGTGGAAACAGGCATGTGTACCACTTGTCCAGAGACAAGAGATAAGAAAGATCAACAAGAGACAGGAGACTGATGTTTGGAACCACAACTCTGTCTGTGTGTCTTTGTGGGGGTGTGTTTGGACACACAGGCCCACTGGACGGCTGCCATTGTCTCTATATCAGGGTACCTGGTATTGGACACAGGTTAGAAAAAATATGTAGGGATTCTTAAGGTAAAACTTTAAACTTTTGGGAGATCCCTTTATATATTTCATGGGAGAGACTACAGGGTTGGACAAGTTTTTAAAAATCCTTTCTACTTGCCCATTGCATGCTTTATTTATCAAAGTTAGCGATTTGCAATGGATTGAAAAAAAAAGAGCATACTCTTTGGGTAAACTTTGCATCCCAAAAAATTTACTTGCCCAATCAGGCAAGTCCAGGAGGAGGGCCTGCAAGGGGGGTCCCGACAACGCTGTACGCTGAATTCGGAAACCCTCGATTACGCTTTACGATAAATTCCAAGTGGCTACAACGCATTTCGTAGGATTAAAACAGCGAATACGCTCTACGCAAAATGCGAAGAGCGGTCTGTCTACGCTCTATGTAGAATTAAAACGGCCGATTACGCTCTACGGAAAAGGGCTTGCGGGCCCCCCAGGATGATACACACTTGCCCGAACAGTGCTTTTACATATACTTGTCCTGGGCAAGTGGTCAGATGGACTTGTCCGACCTGAATTGGTGATTCTATGGTAGAAATCTCAATCAGAATTGCAGTCAAGAGAAACTCTGGTAGCTACCAGTAGAATTATTTTGATTCTACCAGATTTGAGTCTCTACCCTAACATACAGTGTACATATACATGTATGTATGCAGTAGAGCTACTTGAGCTTGGAGGAAGGCTGGTTTCCCAACAGGTATATCTGATATGTAGAACCCTATCGTCCTTGAGGGCAATATTGATTGTGGTTATAGTTTTTCCTGTCATGAGGGGACTGGTCAGGTCAAATATGTGGTCAGAGGGTCGGCCACAAAGAACCCCATAAAAGTACTGCCTTCTCTATAAGGTTTCTACCCCGGCCTTATCTTAGATGGCAATTTATGATGGAATGTATCTCCAACTTTAAAATAAAGTGTGGCGTATAGCAGTAGGGTGTTACTGTTAGGCTCAGGACCAAGAGGTCGCAGGTAGGAATCCTACCCATGTCACCGATCTTGTGCCCTTGGGAAAGGCACTTTACTAACTTTCCTCGCTTGACTCAGGTGGAAATGAGAACCTAGCTTCAGTTAGGGACGTTCCTCAGATAGGACGTTAAATGGAGGTCCCGTGTTTGGGAAGAGCCACACCCCACGCATGTTAAAGAGCCCACCGCACTTACTGAAAAAAGTAGGGGTCCTTCCGATGTGAGTGGTTTAAACCTTACTGTTCGGGGTTACGCAGCTTGTACTTACATGTACAAAACTGGTGTGTTACACCTAATAATATAGTAATATGCCAGTTTATCAGTTAGTCCAAACAAACTAGTCAATTGAAGAACAAGGGAAAAATGAGAACATATTGATCTTTGACTCTATCTTTTGTACAAGTCGTGTTTTTTTTTCTTTTTAGAGCTTTCCCAAGGTCATTATCTGATATGCAAATTTTCAAACCCTTCAAATCACAAGTATGTCATATATCATTTTTTGTTAGTAGGTGCCAAGTTGTTATCTTTGGGTCAAAAGTTCAGGTGGAATGATGACCCTTTGGTGGTGTGCCAAGGACATGGGAGGTCTGGCCTCAAGGAGAGGGGGTAAGGGCCAGTCCATTGTCTGAAGAGGGGTGTCTATGATAAACAAAAAAAAACAAACACAGGTCCAAAGTCATGTAAAAGAAAGGGACAGAATTGAAAAAAATTGCCTATGGAGTGGGCATGGATTGAGCTAGTGAGCAAAATGATATGAAAAACCTTTTTTTTAATTTTTGAGACACCTTATGATATGTAAGAAGATTTTTTTTCAATTTGAGCCCTGAAATTTAATTTTCCTTTTTGGCTTCCTCCATTTTTTAGTACTTAATATTTGCTATCCTGGTATCCATGTTATTCTTTGAGCATCAAAGACTGTACTGCAACAAAATTTATGCATGTACGGGTACATATTAGTACGGGTACATAACTTATGTACCGGCACAACTGTCTGCTTACTGTTTGACGTACAACTCAGAGGCCCACATTTTTTCTTTCATGGTGCCAGCGGCAGACTCGATGACATACATAAGTTTGTTGGGTAAACCTTCCCTGTCCCTCTGTGTCTCCAATCTCCGCACATCTCCAGTGAAAGAACCCTGCTTACCCCACAACACTGATGTCCAAAATAAACATCTATTTGGGGGCCTGCATGGGGGGTCCAGACAACACACTACGTTAAACTTGGAGAGTTGGCTACATATTACACTGAATTCAGGAAACCTCTCGATTACACTTTACGATAAATTCCTAGTGGCTACAACCTATTACGTAGAATTAAAACAGAAAATACGCTCTACGCAAAACACAAATTACATTCTATGTTGAATTAGAGCTGGCGTCTACACTCTTCGTAGAATTAAAACAGCCGCTTACACTCTACGGAAAAGGGCATGCGGGTCCCCAAAGAGTCCTTTTTATCCCATAACACTGATGACCAAAATAAACATCTATTTGGGTGAACTGTCCTGAACAATGAGGAGAAGGGAAGCATGAAATGACCACTGCCCTGGAAATGGCTGGTGTATAGTTACATGACAGCAGGGTCTTCCTAGACCTCACACAGGGAAAAACCCAACCCCTTCCTATCCAGGACAGACAAGTGGAATAAATGAATGGCTTGCTGTGAAGGGCATGGGGCAGTATGGATGGCAGTGTGTGTTTGTGCATGTAATAATGGACAAGAGATCATTTTAAAGAGAGAAAAGAAAACCCCATGCATTGTTAGGAGCAGAGAAAGGGGGGGGGGAAGCATTATTTTTTTGGTCCATCCCAAGTTTTCCTTAGCTTGGGTACCATCCGATTTGTAATGACAACCCACAAAAAATGTATATTGATTTTTTCAGGGTAATGCTGTTACAAATCGGATGGCACCCAGGCTAAGTTTTCCTTAGTAGTAAAACTTTATTACAGAACAGTTGTAGCAGGTACAATGTACATGTATGGCAAGTTCTTGAGAAGTATTGTACTGATCAGAATACCAAACTCTTCAAAAGTTCAGACCCCCCCAAAAAAAGTCCAAGCTCTTTGGGGGACAACAATCATTGGCCTGAATTTATCTCCAACATATGGTGTAACTTCTATTCTGAACCACTTTGAATCAGGCAACCTTGAAGGCACAAAGAGGTATTTATATCCTCAATTCTTCAGTTTAGTGGGAAAATCAGGTGTGTTTTGTCCATAGCTCAACCAAGGTCACATAAATTCCTACCTAGCGTGCAATATCGTGTGAAACAACGCGTTTCAAGGTTTCGCTTACAACATTTTTATTTTTATAGCAAAACTCAACCTGGCTTCAAATACCAATGTATTCCTGACGGCTTCAAGTATTAGTTTACATTTTCCATCTTTTTTACCCAAACAATTTTCTTAGTTTATCATAGTTTATCAAACAGCTGTCCAGGCAAAAGCACTGCGGTATATCCTCTGTTGACAGTAATCGTGATTTTGCCTTTCTTTGTTTTGCTTCAAGTCTTAAGCTCAATTGGTAGAGTGCTCGCTTTGTAACCGCCGCTAACCGGGAGGTCGTGAGTTCAAACCCCGACCGGGTCATACCAAAGACTTTAAAAATGGTACACACTTCTTTTTCTTCTTAGCACTCAGCACATATGAGAAAGAGTGTGGGAAGGTCAAACACACAGCACTACCAGCGGACTAGCCCCCTGCTGTAGTGCATTGCACAACTGTGTGTTGCCCAAGGGCTACAGAAATGGATATGGGCACCACCCCTATGCTCTGCAATAGAGTGGAACGGGACCTTTACAGTTTGTCTCTATACTAGGATCATTGTGCTCTACTCTGTCTTCACCCTTTGCTTGGAAAATGCATCAAAACAAGCACTTCCCATTCATGTAGCTCTTCTGTGTACAGCGAGCCATGCCTTTCTGTTCAAGTTCAAACAAATAGTGCAGTGTCAAGCTTGTAGTGTAAACGCTTTGGGGTGTAATGCTGCTGTTTAATGTCTGTGCACAGTCCGCCGCTCACTACTAGGACCTGACTGGCTCTCATCGTTTGTAAACTCCTGAAAAGCAACAGGGTTCCTATTTAAAACTACCTCAGGTTCAAGGACAGGAGGAGGGCTGGTTACCTTAGCCTGGTTGCCAAACCTATTTCCTACATCCTGTCCACAAATTGGATGTACATACACATGTACTTGGGGGCTAAAATACAGTTAAAAAGTAACTGTAGGTTTGGTAACCAGGCTATTGTTACCTTGGTCAAGCAGGGCTCAAAACATTGTACTATTTTTCTGCATACCTGCACTTGGGTCAACCAGGTAAGATTGAAAATTACTTGCACCAGACAAGTTTTGACTGCAACACAGAATTTTAGGAAGTATGGATCATAATATGTTCAGAAACTATTGCCATTACTTGTTTTACACTTCGTTCAGGCTTCTTCATTCAAAATATAGGTGGATTCAGCCAATACACAAATAAAAATCCATAACACCTACAATATAAACCCAGTATGTGGCCCAGTGCAGGTTAGGCACAGGTAGACATAAAAGAAATACCCAAACAGCTCCAATTTTACCTGCACTAACCTGCATATGCAGGTGGTATTTCGGGCCATGTCAACTTTTTTTCATAGTAGGGTGGTCCTGGTAAAATAAAACTGAACATGGCATCTTTCCTTTTGCTACAAATTGAAGAATAATTCATCTAATAACAGTAATAGAATCACTTGAACTTTCTGACTTCTCACAGACTTTTCAGACAGCATAGCAGGGGGGTTCTTGCAGACTGGGCTGCCTGCCAAGACATTGTACAGTGAGAACCTACTGGGAGTTGGTCCTTTTGAAGGCCAAGTGTAGGGATAAAGGCCAACACCAACACTCCTACTTATTCCCTTGGTACCATGTGGTAACTTTAGAGTGTAGGAGTGCTGCATATCCTACCTGGTATCCAACCGCAGACAAGAATTCAAGATCACTACGAAACAGTTGCCCTCTTCTCACAATAATATCTGAAAACTATGTGGAAAGTATTCTGAATAAGGTAAACATTGTGATATTGACACATACTGCTTCACATTAGCACATGTGTATCAGCATTTCATACTTTAGGCATTTAAAACAGCAGAAACAAGCCTCAAGATGAGTTCTTTATTTTCTGGGTGGCACCCAAAAAAATCAGCCCAGGGCCCTACCAGTAAGCATTTTCTATTCAGAATTTTTGCTCCATGACATTCAATATACATGGGACAGTGTGGTTTCAACTCACTATGTAGATAAATAACTAGAATGTTGGCTTTGACAAATTGGGTTTCCAAGGCCAAAAAACTGCATTGCCTGCCTTTAAAAGTAATGTGGAAAGTTGCCAGTGAAAAATCTGGCCCCAAAAAAGCAGCACCAGTTATTGGGCCACATGGAGGGAGAGATTTTTAGAATGTGTAGAAAACTCAGACTTTTAGAAAGCTCAAACATTTCAACATTTGTTTGACAGTGAAAGACAGCGTCTTATTTACAAGGAACTGGCACTTATTTACAAAGAAAAGACAACAGCGTGACCTGTAAGTTCCTCTCGGTGACCCCAAGTTTGCGGATCAGACCCTGTGTTTACTGCCTGCCAACTGTGAATCTTTGGGTCAGTTTGCTAGTGGTGAAGAGAGTGATACATCATGTTGAGATTCATGGTCACTGACTTGCCCTCGAGGCTATACTTATTAGCACAACATTATCTGAAAACAAAGCACTCTAGATATTCTATTTTAAGAGCAACAGGATTTTTTAATAAGCATGTCATTGAACTTAAACTTAGCCATATTCTGGCCAGACACCAAATGAGTTTTCCATTCATCTTTGATCTAGAAATGCACTTCAGATTTACCAGCCCGAAGAAGATATTTTAGTTATCCCAACTCAAGCTATTTCTAAGAAAATCTGTCTTGTGTCCTTACAAATTTAAGTTTCCTAGTACAATATATAATGTTTAATCCTTAGAACAAGAAGTATAAGTTGATTCATCTATTGCCTTGTACGTAGGTCATTTCTGTTGTACCCACATATTTGTCTATAAAAGTTGCTGTACTTTTGTTGTGTCAATAAAGTTCTTAAGATGTTATAATTTTTTTATTGGGAAGGGAAATGATAGACAAGCCCAGAGTGTTTAACCTTATTGTATCCTTCTTTCCAGTTCTTGACCTCCTGAAGACCCTGGATGTGAACTCTGGCATGGTGGGGATCTCCACCACATCTGGCAGCCGACCAGGCCAGCCAGGCTGGCGTTTCCACTCCACGGTCAAGGAACTCTCTCTACCGGCCTCCGAGGTCACCAGGCTCGCCTCCAAACCCTGCCAGGCTCTTGGCTTCATCTTCATGGCCAGGCAGTCCAAAAACTCTGACGGCGTTCTCCTCTCCATCTACTCGCCGTCTCTCGACAAGGACGGCGAAGACGGGGGAACGTTCTTCGAGATCGGCTCGGACTTGACCCGGAATCATCTCAGGCTGACCTACAGAACGTTGGGCACGCTGACCGTCATCCACGAGATTTTCAGGCCGTCGCCATTCCGCGATACGAGCAAGTGGACGCAGCTGGCGGTACACGTGGGGGTGGATGCGGTCCGGGTGTACGTGGACTGTCAGGACGTGATCGAGAGGCCGCTCATCCCCAGCTGCCGCGTCAAGATGCCGCAGGACAGCACCGTGTTCTTCTCACAGAACTTCGAGCGCGAGAAATTCACCGTAAGTACCGTATCAGGGTGCTACCCTTTAGGAGGGCCTGCATGCCCTTTTTCGTAAGTCGCGATCAGGCCTTTCTAACCTTCATAATCCGTACTAGGCAGCCACCCCAAATAGTCATAATTCATAATCAGTACATTAGCCATAATGTGTAATTTAAAATCGGATTGAAAAATTTTGTATAATTCGTCAATACCGTCATTCCCTCATTTGGGACGGGTGGGTAGGGTTAGACTTAAATTGATTTTCTTTCAACCAAAGACTGTGGAAACTTGAAGTGTCATGCAATCAAGGAGATTGTACTGGGATGCCAAATATTTCCTGGTCAATTTTATCAGATTTTTACTCAGTGATTTAACATTGCCATCATTACTCAAATTTTACTCACTGATTAAATGCCATCAAAAACCTCTGAATTTGATTGACAGCAGTATTTTCCAGTTTTTCAATTTTGCTTTTGTTATCCAGGTCAGCCAATAGAATGTAGATGCATTTATAGTAGGCATTAGTAGCAGCTTGTTACTTTTCACCTGACAACTTGTCACATCTAAGCCTTGTATATGTAAGGATAAGCTTTGTTTGAAACTCTATGTTTGAAATTGTCTAGTACACAAACCTTTTCTTGCCACTAACTAGGCTTTTTGGACAAACGCCAGACTGGCTGGCAAAGTCTTCCATCTTAATTTGTCAGCGTGCAACAGTCCAGTCTGGGTTCTTCAGGACTAGACTGATAAGACTTGGTGTAATCTTAGTTTGACACAAAACAGTCTTCTCAGCTCCCACAGGATGAAGGGTGTTCTATAAGTCACCTTATCTAAAGAAGCCAAGGTTTGAAGTACGTTTCTTGGCAATCAGGATAAAAATGTTGTCATGCAGCCTTTCCTCAAGTTCAAATTCAAATTTTAATGTTTGAATGTAAGGTCATCTGTGTTAGTAGAATCCATAGTTGTAGAGTTTAAACTTAGGCCACACCAATTTGATTTCTTGGTTGACGGATTTTTGAAGAAAAATAGTGGAGTGGGCGGGCGAAAAAAATAAAAAATAAAAAAAGGCCTAGGCTTCCTATTATGGGCCAAAATGGTACGATAGGAGCCATGAAGTCAACACACCAGGCTGGTTCAAAAATTAACCAATGAATTTTGAACTTTTAATGATACCACTGCATTGAAAGATGGAATGACTGTAACAAGTAGGAAGAAAAGGACTGTTTTCAACTGTTCAGGGCAAAATATGAGCATTTTGCACTTGATTCTGAATTTTTATTTTTATTTGCAAATCAGAAAAAAATGAAGCGGGCGAATCCGTTAACCAAGAAATTAAATTGGTGTAGCCTTACCGTTCCACAAAAAAAACATATCCTGTTTTATCATGTTAATACTTGTGGTTTGTTGCAGTTGTCTGAGAGTGATATTTATCCAATTGAATATCTAGGCAAAAATAAGCAATCCAAACTTGAAACCAAAATAATAAGATTCCAGTTTGCAATTTGAGACACGGACTGCTTTAAAGAAAGCCTGTTCCTATCAAATTATGAATTATGATTCTTTCCCCGGACTACAAAATTATGGAACTCTCTTCCAAACAGATGCTGAATTCCATCCGACTACAATCCACAAAGCTTCAAAACAAAGGTCCACCGCCATCTCCTGACATAACTACATTACACTCACTTAATTAAGTACCTCTAGCTCTATGCCTAGAGGTGGCCAAAAATAATTGGCCTTGCATTGAGCGACACCGTTAAAAAAAACAAAAACAAACTGTAACTGTTACATTGTTTGTCAATTGAGATTGAGAAGGATTTCAGTAATATAAAAGTCTTTTTAGTCAAGACTTCTTACTTTCTCCCCTCAACAGTTCAAGCAAAAGTGCCAAAGAACAGATGGATCATTTTTAGCCCAGTCCAGCAGACTGTTTCCTGTGTTATCTCTCAGCTGTGTGGTAAATCAAGGTTTAATTGGACACTTGTTCTTGTACATGAGTGGGCCCCTGCTGTCCTGGCCTCCACAGTTATGACACTTGATTGTTATCTGTTCCTTATGGTTTGACTGCCGCCATGCAATCAGTGCTACTAAAATACAGCACGGAGTCCACTGTAGTGGTTTGAAATCTCAAGATTCAGTAGTTGAATAGTTTTATGAGAGTTTTAAAACAGATAAAAAGTTTATGAGCAGCAAAAAAACATTGCAACTCTTAGCATGTCAAACGACTTACACATGCTTCTCTGTACAAAAAGGTTACGGTCACTGGTCATTTCAAAGTTGAAAAAATCATCTTCAAAATTTCGGGGTTATCCCGTTAATTTGGGATTGTAAGAATTATACCACACTGAGTGGCAAACTGGGTTATGGATGTACAAGGCTTAATTTTCACCTTGGCATCCTGTGGAAAATCTGCATGTGAACTGGACCTACTAAAACCCTTAATGCCCTCTCAGGTAACACATTAAAGTGAATACATTCAATCACTGTACATAAAGAATGCATGTGTGGTAAAGTGAACGATAGTTGTTCTTTGTCAACATTTGTTTACCTTGTAAACATTAGGTTTATGTTTGTGGCTTAAAAATTTTTCATCTTGGTACATGTAGGTATACTCTCTATGACCATGTCAATCACTCAACAAGCAAAGAAATATCGCCATGGTAACCTTTTTGTCTTCCTCATCACCAGGGTTACTGGCAGGAGGCAAAGATGGTCATCAACGGTTTCCAGGGGCGACCGTGGTACTGTTTCCAAGGTAACCAATAATAATCCCATCCTGTGTTTTATTACATTGGCTGCAGTCTTCAGGCCTAGGAAAAAAATGTTGTGTTCCCTCTTTCAGTCCTGAAAGGATTATGGTCAGTAGATTATATTTTATTAGATTTTTGCCTTCTGTAGTGATCCAACTTATAAAATACAGTTTAACAAAGTGTGCATTTATATTTTTAATGTCAATGTTAGAAAACCGATTGTACAATGTTTCATCACTCAGGAGTCAGATCATGGAGCTAGCAAACTGGTCAATCAGCTCAAAATATTTGTGCCTTGCTGGGGTCCACCCCAAAAAAAGTCTAGGGTCAGCAGTTTTTTCTAGGGTCAGTCGAGGAAACAGGAAGCACAACATTTTTTCCTAGTCCTCACTACCCACCCCACTGCCTTTTTGACCTGTCCCTTGGAAATGGTGAATATGGAGCATCTTTTAGATGGCATGGATAATTGTTTGGATATGCACATGTTAAAGATCTGTGCTTCTAGGCCTGATTTTATTTGCACATGATCCCAGGATACCCTAACCTGTCTAAACAGATATATTTCACATTGTAAAACTATCTAGTCCATCAAAATAAGTGAAATCATGAAATGAAATCTACCAAATTTTACCCAGAGTTAATTGAACTTATTGTGTTACAGGAATATCACTTGTGTATGATCAAATGTAAGTGAGTCAAGAAACAGTGGCTCTGTGATCATTAAGTTATGGCCACATAAAGTTGATTTTATGGTTGGCATCAGCACCCACATTGATTTATGACTGTTTTTGGAAAAAGTAAATCTGTCCTTTCTTCAGAACTCATAGATGATTTAACAAGGAGTAACAAGCCAAAGTGTGCTTTAATTTGAAGAACTGTAACTGTATCTGTTCCAACTAAATATACTGTAAAACAAGAAAGCGTGATACTATAACTGTTACAAGGAATCCCTGAAAAATTGTAAATATACCGAATTCCATAGAAAAATACAATATAAGATTAACCAAGTTCATTCTTGCTCTCTTTTATTTTTTATGGCTTTAACAAGATATCTAGGATGTCATCCATGTGACATTGTAGTAAACTCTGTGTGGCCTAACAGTAACTAAGGATCCAAATAAAATTTCCATAAAAAGTTTTAAACCCAAGTTAGTGTGGCCTAATTCCAGGTTTGACTGAAACCTCCATCTTGTAAAAATCTGCTTCCCCTCAAGCAGAACTAATCATGGGCACAACCTGGGACATGCAGGGAAACACTTTACACAGAATTAACTGTTTGTCTGTGCTTGGGCTGAAACCTAATCCGTACCAGTCCACATCCAGCACACCAGCTAGTCTGCAGTCTTCCTGCTGAAGCAAAACAGATGTTCCTCTTACACAGTTGTCAATGTCAGGGGGGAAGAGCCAAGTCTTTGTTCTTAGAGCTGGAGAAATGTGTACCTGGGGCCAGATTAGGTTAAGTAAATGGTTCATGGTGACTCTAGGTGGAATGAATTAGGCTTGTGGAGTGGAGGTAAACAAAATAATTACTGAAGACGTTAATTCAGGGTTGCTATGGCAGAGGTGTCAATGCCATGGAATAAGGCCTTTTCTCAGTTCTTAAAATATTGTGAGGTATATACATTGTAGGGGCCTGCATGTCCTTTTCCATAGAGCATTGTCGACCGTTTTAATTTCTATTAAGAGAGTAGACAGACCGCTCTAATATTCAACGTACTCTAGTGTAATTGGTGCATTTTGCGTAGAGCGACTATTTTGCCATTTTGATTCTACGTAATGCGTTGTAGCACCCAGGAATTTATCGTAACACGTAATGGGGAGGCTTCCTGAATTTAGCATAATACGTAGCCGGCGCTCAAAAAAGAGCATTGTCGGGACCCCCATGCAGGCCCTCGTAGTGTGCAGACTTTGAGGTGGCTTGCATTTTGTATCTCGGGTTTTTTAAGTTAACTAAGTAGCTTTCCAATTTAAACAGTTAATAACTAGTTAACTAGTTAATAAGTTAACTAACTAGTCAAATCACTAACTAGAAAACTACCTTTATCTACCAGCATAGTTAGTAAGGCCGACTTTAGACTGACGACAGTATACGATCGCACGACAATCGTTGTGGGCGACGGCTGACTTTAGACACATGACCAGGAAGTGTGACGGACACCCGCAGCGCAGGAGGGCACGCCGCGCGCCAATTCAAAATGGCGAGAGAACCCCTTTTTTCGGCATGCTGCAGAAGATTGCTTTTAATCTGCTTTTAACTCGTTGTTCTGTGGATGAGACTCCTAGTTTGTGCCCAGCAAAGAAGGGGTATGAGGCACATGTACCGAGCGGGGAAATATACTCCGGGTTTGAACCCGGCGTTCAGAGCTGCCGTTGGCCTGGCAATATTGGCCGGGAAATGTGGATCGGCAGATCGGTTCGTACCGGAGAAGTAGCGATTGGTGGCTGGGGATTGTACTAGACACGTATGACGATATAAAGTCTTTGGTTTGATGGCATTTAATAATACTGGCGATGTGCTTGGACATGAAATAACGCTTGCAGGCTTATTTGCATAAGGCCAATGACCTCCCACTTCCTTCGCCGGCGACGGTTCACTTTAGACGGTGGAAAATCCTCCTCGGACCCCCCGCTGAAGGATCGCACGATAGGGTCCGAGGTGGTAGTGACGACGATTCGAGGATTACCGTCGTGCGACTATTTTGATCGTCTTTAGACGGTTGTAAAATACCGTCGCCGGCAACATCTTGACGATAAACATTCGTACGACTATTTAACCGTCGTCAGTCTAAAGTGCCCCTTAGACTCACTGTATCTACATTTGTACGTCTGTCAGTTTTGTAAGTTTACAGGTTTAAAGACTTTGTGATGACCCTTGAATTTTCCTGGCAGATGTTAGAGTTTTTTCATGACTGATAATCTCAACAATGAAGGGTGCTGCTGACAGATGGATTTTTGCCTTTCCATACACTAGGATCTCTTTGAAAAATCATTCCAAGCCTTAAAGATCTGAGCCAAGTGAAGCATTAAATTAAAATTCTTCTGCTTCCTTCATGATCCTTTTACTGAGGGCCTGTATGGGGGGTCCTGACGACGCTCTACACTAAATTTTGAGAGCATATATTACGCTGAATTAACCCTCCCCATTATGTTTTACGATAGATTCAGTGTAGCTACAACACATTACGTAGAATCAAAACAGCGAATTACGCTCTACGTAAAATGCACCAATTACGACTCTACGTTAGATTAGAGCAGTACGTCTTTGCTCTATGTATAATTAAAACGCCCGATTATGCTCTACGAAAAAGGGCATGCTTCCCCCCAGTTATGTTTCAAGCTCTGAGCCAAGCATTTCTTCTACGTGCTTCCCTCTTGAACCCTTTACTTTGTGTGTCAGAGGAAAAGTTAATGTTTCCTTTGTCCTTCTGACACAAATACTTTAAGTCGTAGGCGGAAGGTTCTAGGAGCAGATCAAAGAGCAGAGTGGTAGTGAATGCATCCCCAGCAGGCAAGGTTTAATAGCAAAGCTGATGAACAAATTATGGAGTGTGCACTGCTGAGAACTGAAAGAAAACACATGGTGAAGTATGACCTTCTCGGTTGATTTACGGTCAATTATAGAATGATATTTTTGATAGTTTATCTGCTATGGACTTACAGAATGTGGCATCATTCATGTTTAAACTAATCATGTTTAGATGTTGACCTTGGCCTTGCTATTAGCACCATGAACTTTCTAGAATGGATATTTCATTGTTGATTATTCCTGCTATATTTTACGGGTTTCCTTATCTGTAAGAGTGCTTCTCAGGGTTTTTTTATGGTTCGGAGTCAATTATGGTGAAATATCGTTGCCATTAGAAGAGATAGGTCCTGACAGTATCTCGTTATTGCATGATGAGACTACACCAGAGTATTTAACCTCAAACTCATTTTTGCTAGCAAAGAGTCAAGGATATCCTGGCTTGAACAAATTGAGAGTCACAAGTGATACATCTGAAGGCATCCAAATGTCTGCAACGAAGGCTTCAAAACTGTAGCGTCCAAATCTTTTGATGGAAACTATAATGATAACAACGTTTGGTTATAGACCTATAGGTACTGAGTACTGTCTCATGCCCATAGGGCATCCTCAGAAAAACACAGAAAATGCCATTTCAGAAGGTTCTTTTTTCAAAATTTTCCATGGGAGCATGCCCCCGAACCCCCCCTTAGAAGCTCATGGCTACAGTGCTCACTCACCGGGTCTCTTGGACAGAAGAACCCCCCATTCAAAATCCTTGCTACAGGCATGTGTCTAGCTGTTTGCTGATTCCAGTTTCTTGTTAAAAGCCGTCTAACTGGGACACTAAGTACACTTGGATTCACTCTGTTTCATAGATAAGTGGAAGAGCTGAAAGGCAGATATGGGAGAGTTGTCCTTAAGTTCTTGCCATACCATAGCTGTGAGGTCTGGCAGAGAGCCAGTTGTCATTTGTTTCAGATCTTTGACATCATCTCAAGCTTTTGAGTCTGATCTGGTGGGAGTGCTTTACTGTTTAACCTTTTGTGGGTTGATGGAAGAATTTCCAACCACAATACTAACGTTACATGTAGCCTGGGTGCCATCTTGATAGTACATGTATTTGCACTTGCTACTCCAAATTTTCTCTACTATACATGTACATGGGGCTGAAATAAAAAGCGTGTTGGATCCATTTTTCTTATAAAGTTCATTGTTTCATTTTCTTTTCAGTTTATTCATTCTCACAGCCTAAACAGCTCATTCTCAGCCCCTACAAAAGAAAACCTGGCAGTAATCTTCCCACCCAACATCTGCTTGGAGATAAGTCCAGGTTTAGAAATCACTCATGCAGTTGTAGTACTTTGTTTTGCGTCATGGTCATCTCACTTAGAACATCAACTGCCTAAAATTCCTATTAGCAAACTTGCTATATTATGCAACTACAGAATCTGGTCAAGGTTGAAATGAGGTTATACAATGTAAGTCAACTTCTGACAAAAG